ACAAGTAGAAAAATATCAGTATTTGGGAACTTTGATCAATGAAACCAATGATCATACTGTAGAAATAAACAGACGAATAGAGATTGCCAGATCAGCATTTATACGAATGAAGCCACTTCTAACGTGCAAAAATCTAAATTTGGAGATCAGACTACGTACCATTCGCTGTTATATATTTTCAATATTATTATATGGAGCTGAGACTTGGACATTAAAAAAATGTAATTTAAAAAGAATCGAGGCCTTCGAACTCTGGTTATACCGCAGAGTATTGAAAATATCATGGGACTGATAGAATTACAAATAAAGAAGTACTGGAGAGGGTTGGTAAAGAAACAGAACTAATCACCACTATACAAACCAGAAAACTGGAATACCTAGGCCACGTGATGAGGGGACCAAAATATGAAATTTTGAGACTGATAATACAGGGAAAGATTCAAGGAAGAAGATCTGTTGGCCGAAGGCAGAACTCATGGTTAAAGAATCTACGTGATTGGTACCAATGCAGATCGATTGATTTGTTTAGAGCAGCAAGTTCTAAAATAAAAATAGCCATTATGATTGCCAACCTCCGTAGGGAGACGGCACTCTAAGAAGAAGTTTCCCTAGACCTAAAATAGATGCTGTCAAAGAAGTAATACACATTGCACCACACATTATAGGCATCAACCAATAAAGAGAATCGGCAACAATAAAATGGTAAAAATAACTGTACACCGTAAGTAAAGCTTGTCACAAGTTTCTTCATAAATGTCACAAATTTTTAGAAATTCATAATTTTCATTAATGATTTCAATTGATTGTTGCGCCATATTAGTATTACAAAGTTGGAATATTACTAATGCAATTTCAGGACTTCCTTGGTTTATTTCAGAAGAGTTGTCGAGAAGACTACTAAAAGAAGTTACAGTTATAGGTAAATTTGGACATCTTAATTAAATATTCAATCTAATATTCTTTCAGTAGGCTCTACAAGTAGATAATATCATTTGACGGTCTCAAAAGAGTTCCGATTGGAAGAGAGAAGCAGTAAAAAGTGGAATACGCAACTCAAGATCCTACAAAGAGACTTGGAAGCTAATATTTTAATCTTTTTAATTAATCAGTTGTTTTCAGGATGTACGTTTGAAGAAAATAACTATTTATGCGATCAAATGCGTTAATATTCTTTATTGACTTGTCTGCCTTGGTTAGAATTAATTTTTTGGACGCTTCCTCGATGAATTTTATTCGATTTTGCTTCGCTTGTATAGTTGAGTCAATATAAGGTCTACATCACGTGACTTATGGTTTATTGGAGATCCAAATATTGCATAATCTTTCTAATAATGATGTCAAAAGATGCCACAATTCATATATTGTTTTAGACCTTTAAAAAATTGATGAGGAACGTCTCTGACTCAAATAATTTCTTAGAAACGTTTTTGATCACGTGATGAACAACTTATATTCATTCAACTGTAGGTAGTTTCTTTGGGAATGTAGTAAAGATACGTGAAGGAACTTTATTTTAATCGGTTTGATCATCGGATACTTCGTCTTATTTGATTTGGCAAAAATAGTTCGGCAGAAAAGTATCTCCGTTCTATATTCTAACTGTACTCGAATCTCTAAAGTTTAGAGATTCTTTATCCGTGAGATCAGCCTCTATGTGTCAAGGACGCTGTAATACACTATACCTCACTTACTGTACATACTTTGTGCATTAAACTATTGAAAAAGCTACATCCAAGGGTCGCAAAATATTGAATAGAAATAAAAAAGTCATTAATGTGCTGCAGAAACAAACTATGAAGAAGATTGATTGAAATACGAGGTGTGGCAATTAAATAACTGGACAGGTGCTTTTACCAGCAAGCAAGGAGCGCGCTGAGACTGATTTGGACGCGTCTGTACTCATTGATGCTATCTCGACCTTGAGCTCTGCTGTACGCCGGTTCAGTTTCGCCCGCTCAAGTCCTGGTCTCGTCGAAAAAATGCAGAGTATTCAGATGGAGCAACGAATTCTTGTGAAATTGGGAAAACTAGCTACAAAATCTCATGTCATATTAAAGGAAGTGAATGTTTATCGCGAAATTAGTTTTTGATAGGTTCAAACGTTTAAAAAAGGACGTGAAAAGACTTCAATGTAGAGTAGGGTGTCCCAATTCTTTCTGAAATCTCAGGAATTAACAAAGTATCCGTCAGATTTTGCAATAAATCATTGAACATGCAGAAATTTTACACAAAAATTCTGCTAAAACTTCTCAGTCAGGAGCAAAAAACGGAGAATGATTGGAACACCCACGGTCTCTGCTCAATTTGGCCAATCTGACTCATTTTTATTTCCTAAATAAAATCGTAGCTTACAAGAACAAGATTTGTGTGAAAGCAGAAGCGTCGTAGGGATCAACTAGGAGAGTACATCATCATCATCAGCAGTGGTATCACAGCTCGTTATGAGCCAAGGCCTTCTTCAGAAGAATTATCCATTCACTCCTGTCTATGACAACTCTTTTCCATGCTCTAACTTCAATAGATTTTAAATCGCCCTCTAAGTGGTCTTGATACCTAAGTCTCGGTATTCCTCTGTTGTCCAATCAGCCCTCTGAGCGAAGATGCAGGTGTGTTTGTCCTTACACCTTGTCCTGATGGCTTTGTTTCGCGCACCAGTCATAGGTCGCTGTTTTTTCCCTTGGGGAACAAGGTTTTTCCTTAGGGAAATAGGTTCACTTTGTATTCTTTGAAGGACCACCCAGAAAACTGGGACAAATGAAAGATTCGAAAAGAACGTTTTAACAAGTCTATTTAAACAATAACAACGTATTTTGGACGCCGATAACTTGCATACGATAGCTGATTTATGAAAGTAAACTTTATAAAAGTATAAATGAATGGAATTTGAACTGATACTGTCTTGATGGATTTGAACTGCGAACTGATGTCCACTCTCTCCCTTCCATCACTACGCTCGTAATTGTTTCTAAGCATTTAGAAATCTCCTCCCTGAGCCCCTCGACGTATTTAAAAGATATTTCAAATACCTTCGACGTTCAATTCATTGGTAAAACTATACTACTCATTTGGATCAAAATACTAATCCTTTCATTGTTACGATTCTATGAAGGTTTTAGAAACTTGTGTAAAGTTATTTGAATGCAAGCTATCGGCGCTTTACAGGTTATTAGTTAGTACAAAGAAATTTTATAAATCTAAACTAATATACAGTATGATATAATAATATGATGCAAAATAAACTAAAAATATTAAATATTGTTGTTACGCAACATAGTCCCCCCGTTGATGTGACCTACATCTAAATGAGTATGAGGTAAATGACATACTTTAACAACAGATCTTATAAATGTTCCGTCTTTAGTTCTTAGTTTTACAGTTCTAACCTGTCGTCTTTACTTGGCACTGTTTCGATTACTCTTGCCAGTGGCCATTTTAGAGGAGGAGCGTTATCAACGATTAGGAGTACAAGATCATTGACTTTAAAGTTTTCTTGGGGCAGAAACCATTTGGGCTTATTTTGGAGGCGATTTAAATAATCCCTAGATCAACATTTCCAGAAATGCTGCTGAATTTTGCTGCCACAGTGACAAACTATTTTCGGCTTTTGTCGAGATATCTTTCTCTGGATAGGAAGTCATGCTGCTTCCGATGAGAAAATGAGCTGAGGTTAGAAAACAAAAATCATTTGGACTGTCTGACAATGGACAGAGGGTCGTGAATTTAAAATTGCTTCTATTTGAGCCAAAATAGTGGTTAATTCCTCAAATGTAAAAATATTATTGCCCATCATCCTTACTAAATGATAGTTGCAGCTTTTTATAGCTGCTTCCTAAATTCCACCCTGGTGTGGAGATCGAGGTGCAATGAACTTCCACTCAATTAATGTTGAGGCTGCGAATTCTTTTATGGTAGGTAGAACGTTCCCATAAAAAAGTCATAAAGCTCTTTTAACTGATTACGAGCTTCAAGAAAGTTGGACGCATTGTCCGAATAAATGGTTTTAGGGATACCTCTGCGTGAAATGAATCTTTTCAACGTTAGTAGGAATGCTTCAGTGCTAAGACTGGACACTAGCTCTATATGGACGCAACACCCTCTTCAGTCAAAAACTTTTCTCTCGCCTAATTACATGCCATATCCATCTAAGGCGTGCTACCTTAATGAATTTTACAACGTCAGGTTCCCCAAAACCTTTATACAACTGACAAAAAAGCTGTGCCACAAAACCGCAAAGGTGGTTTGAGGTTGGTAAAGGATCTTGGAAACAGTATGCATTGCCGATGTTCATACTGTAATAAAATCCTGGTATTGTCCACCGTTTTCGACAAAACAATCCGAAGTTCTAGTAAGCACTTTAATCATGGCGTAAAATGGGTATGTGTTATGTATCAGACGAGAGAATAAATGACGAAAATCGCTGAGGAATTTTCAAACGACTCAGCTAAGGATATAAACTTTTGGTACTCTAGATTGGGGGTTGAGCAGAGAGGTAACGCCTCCTTCCGATAGAAAACCTGTTACGAAAACTTCCAGTAGAGTACATCGAAGAACATAAACAATTTGCCACCAAGAAAATACTTTCAAGCACCACTTCGTTTAGTTAATTGCCGCATCTCATATAGTCATTCTTATAATTTAAAATGTACGTCATTCTAAAATCTATTTCACATACAACTAGATGAATATTGGAACACCAAATGCCAATTACGATGAAGTTGCGCAAATTACGTATCGTTACGTTTAATCCAGACATTGGCGAAACGATTGGAAGTTCAGCTTTTATGCAGTAGCGTATCTGCGAAATTTTAACGCTATCAGACTTCTGCCACCATGTCACTAATAGCGCTAAAACGGGCCCTTGTAAAACCTGCACGAGTAAACCCCATTATAATTGACGTTTGTTGTACACTTCGCATTAAATTACAATGTTTAATTTAGTTTTTAATAGTTTTACGAAACGTAAACATTTTTTTTATGGTCTTCGTTTCTTGTTTGTCCAGATCACCGTCTCCAGAGCCCATTTATAGCAGCGATGGTAAACGTCTGAATACTAGGGAATTTCGTACGAGAAAACGTCTTGAAGAAGACAGGCACACTTTGGTTCTTAGAATGCAAAGTATCAATCCCGAATTCAAGCCGCCTCTTGATTATAAGTAAGTAATCGTTTATAGTTGGTAGGTGCATCATTTCACATTTTTTTATGTTTCCAGACCGCCAGTAACCAGAGTTAGCGACAAAGTGATGATACCTCAAGAAGAACACCCGGAAATTAATTTTGTGGGTCTTTTGATCGGTCCTAGAGGAAATACCTTAAAGAGTAAGTCCGGTTGATGTGGTTATATAAAATATATTTATAACAAACATTTTCAGCGATGGAAAAAGAAACTGGTGCAAAGATTATCATACGAGGAAAAGGATCTGTCAAGGAGGGAAAAGTCGGGAGAAAAGATGGACAGCCGCTTCCGGGAGAAGACGAACCGTTACATGCCTATATTACGGCCACCAATCCGGAGTGTGTGAAGAAAGCTGTAGAAAGGGTAAGGATCTTTTAGGAGTTTTTTTTATTTAATATTCAGTACTCTTCTAGAACGGTCTTGTTCCAGCTTTACTTGTAGGTACTTGTTCTTTAATTGCTGTCGTCTACTTGATCTCTTTTACATGTTCAATTCTTCTTCTACTTCTTCTTCGGAAGGTAGAAGAATAATCCCTGTCCCTCTTCAGCACTTCCATCATTTGTTCATGCCTGACTCTATCAAAAGTCTTTCTTTTGATAGAGTCTGAGTTGAGTCTCTATATACGTACCTTAACAGTACGTATTTTGGTATTCCCAGCGCTTCTATGATGAAAGTAACTTGAGCTGAGGACTTAATGAAAGCAACTGATTGAATCAGTTGCTTTCATCAAGTCCTCGTAGACACACCTGTCTCAGGAGTAGCAACTTCACGTGGAGTCATATGTCGCCATGTTACCAAATCTACCGGTAACTTTAACATCATAATAATTAATAACACATAATGTAAACTAAATTTAAACAAACAATTTTTAACGGGTTTTTACCCACATATTTAGTGGTTACGTACATGTATACCTAGACACTGATGATGAATATGGATTCCGAAAACGTTTTGTGATATAGCCCGATTGGATTTTTAAATTATATATCTTTTATAAAGGCTTTTTTTAAAATAAAAAAATGTTAAAATAAAAAATTTTATTTTAACAAAATTTAAAACTTATGGACCCGCTTTATCAACCTTCCCATTGGTCATTTACGTCACACCGGTCTATTATAAAATAAAATTTTAATTCGATTTCACCAGGTAGAAATCGTAGATTTCATTTTTTTTTTATATTAGTTGGCGTAGTTACGTCCGTATATATAATTATTTACTACGACTGGAATACATTTTGTTTTCGATCCAGAATAGTGGCTATACCGTTCTGAGGAGACCTAAAGAGGTCGAAATACATATAAGCGGCTTGTTGCTGCTCTGTATCGAAACAAAAATTTAGTACCGCCATTAAGTTTTATAACATTTTATTTTCCAGATCAAAGAAGTCATACGTCAAGGAGTAGAAGTACCAGAAAATCAAAACGATCTCAGGCGAATGCAACTGAGAGAACTCGCACAACTAAATGGTACATTACGAGAGAATGACGGCATGAGATGCAACAATTGCGGAGCTACAGATCATAAATCTTGGCTGGTAAGTCTATTAAACTTAAATTTGATCTATCTAGTTCTTTAAGGCTGTTTTAGCAGTTAAACCACACTGCGATTTGAAATGGGCGTATCACTTACTTTTCTACACTGCTTACGCCAGACTATCTTTACTCAGTGGCGCCGGCCGACGGGTAGTTTAATGAGAACAAATGCATTATTCTCCTTTCTAATTAGTTTTAACACGAACTAACTGACCCTACGTTCATGAGATTTGACGTCACGAAGGCGATAACGGTAAAACTAAGCGCCAATGATGAGTAACACGTTTCACTATTAGATTTTAGTTTTTAGCAATTTTCTTCAAAGTTGGAACACGCTTTTATCGATTATTACTGGACACAGAAAGGTGAAAAAAAAATCAATGATTACAGAAAAAAAAACTCCTTCAAGTGATGGGCGTAAAAAGTTTGGTTATAATAGAACGTTAAACAGTATAATCCAATTTTTTCAACAGAATTTCAAAATAAAAAAAAGTATAACCATCAGTTTAAAGGCAACATAATTTCGAATAACGTGACCAAATTTCGAGACATTTTGTCGGTAAATAACAGAGAAAACACTGTTCCCTAGGTTTTGGTGCACCGATAAAACAGCCTTAAGTCACTTCCACATAATGATTTAATGACTCAATGTAATTGTTTTCCCGAAGTTAAGTTGTTGATATTTTTGTACAATTTTAGTGTCCGGATAAACCGAACATTACCAACAGTATCGTTTGCTCGAGTTGTGGAGCAGCTGGTCACATAGCTCGCGATTGTCGCTCCAAACGACCGGGACAAGGAGGTCCCCCGTTGCCGGGACAAGGAGACAAAGCGAAAATAGACGAGGAATATCTGTCTCTAATGGCTGAACTAGGCGAAGGTCCACAGCCTGTTTTTATGCAGAACGGAAACAATCACCAGAGAAAGCAACCACCGGCTCCTCCAGGTTTGTATATTTGTTTATCAAAAAATTTGTACTCTATACTATTGTAAACCCTTTATTTCAGTTTCAAGTTTCAACATTTTCGAAAATCAAGCACCCCCTCGGCCTATCATGCCTCCGCCAATGCCAGGAGCCCCGATGCAAATGTTACAGACCGGCAGCATCCCTCCGCCGTCGTGGCCGGCTCCGGCGCCGATGCCGTGGCCTCCGGCGCCGCCTCCGGGAATTATGCCGCCGCCACCTCCACCGGGGGCGTCCAGTCCGCCGCAAACGATGATACCGCCACCGTGGTCATCGAATCAACCGCCTCCGCCGGGAGCGCCGCCACCGTTCGCGTCTTGGCCGCCGAGCAGTTTCCCTCCACCTCCGCCACCCGGAATAGACGTCAATTCTTTGCTGACGTCACCACCTCCTCCGCCGCCGTCTTAAATGCGCTCCAGAAGGGCGAAAGTTTAGTGTTAAGAAGTTGGTAGTTTTAGTTGTGAACAAGTGGTTGTTCCTGTAGGACGTCCCGAGGAAATATTTTGATCTTTGGATTATATTGATTATTATTTCTACCTTGATTATAATTTTTAACCAATTTAGTTAGCGTTGGTGACCTCGATAACAATTTAAAGGTAGTAACCAAATGCATTTGGCATTTTTCGTCTATTTTTGCACTGATACTGCTTTGTTAATAATTTCTAGATACAATATAGTAAATTACATAGAAGCAGGAAAAATCATGCAAAAAAATATCATACTGAACTTGTTTAGTTTTATTTGCAGTATCTGGTGTAGACGGTGATGATGAAACCACATAACATATACATTGTTTGCTTTTAACTGCTTAAAAATATCACTAAAACCTATTTTAGAATTATTCTGACTTGCGTACATCAGAGTCACATTTTTACATACATTTAAAATTGGGAGAATTTGATAGTAAAAAATGGTCGCTAATATTTTTAGTTCAATTAATAGTAATTAATTTTTGACAAAATTCTCCGACCACCATTCTTGATTTTTTGGTTCATGTTTGTCTTTATCCTAAAGCTTCACTTGCAGCCTCATGGATGCATTTTTTAAGTTGCTGGTATAATTCTTCCGCTGATATATTTTCTCGATCCACATTTTGTAATTTTGTGGCCAATCGTAATTTGAAATGAAAATTCGTTGAATCTTCTTTTAAGCTTCTAGGTTATACAAACTTCTGCTTGTTTGGTTCTAATTTCGAGGCTTTTGGTCGAAATTTTTAGCAATTATTTCTTTTGACAAGGGATGAGTTGCTAGCCCGTCGCCTCAACCCTCCTCCTTTATCTGGGCTTGGGACCGGCACTGGCATTTATTGGGCTACTCAATCCACCCGGCACTTACCGTAGGCAGGGTTTTATGTGTAATTAGTACAGTATTATTAATTAACGTATTATTTTAAGAACAAAATGTGATTGAAATGTCGAATGGTGGTAGTTCAGATTTCTTTCCTAGATGGCGTCGTTAGTTTACTGAACAAACGGTGTGACTTGTCATCATAGCCTTTTATATAGATTGATATACATATTATCACTTGTCAAACCACTGTTGTTGCGCCCCAACTCTATTTTACTTTATCTTTGATAGCTCGCGTTTTTAATAGCTGTCAAATCTAATTGTCGACCATTTTTTCTCAAGCAACCATATATCATCATATTAAGAAAAAAATTAGCTTTCATTAACGAAATTAAATATTTGTCAAAAACGAATTACTATTAATTGAATTAAAAATATTTGCTGCCAATTTTTGATTGACAACCTATTTCGTATTTTTCATATAAAAATGCTTGCACGTCACTCAAGATTTACGACGTCAGAACCCCACAGCGTTGCCAAAACATCAGAATAGTTAGTAAGTGAGGAATTTTTTAAATGTCCACTATTTGTCAAACTATTATAATAACAGTAAATACACTTAGTTTTAATACTACTGCAACACACTAAAATACATAAGAAAACATTTTAATACAAAATTATGTATTCTAAATTTTAAAATTACCTCTTTTAGGTCTTTAATAGTAAAAACGTCCCGCCATTATTTCTTATTCAAAATAATCCATCTTATTTGAAAGCTTCTTCTATTAGACTATTTATTTGTTTTGTGACATAGCACAATCACAATACACAACAATAATTAGTTTTTAAAGCTATTAATTCAAATTTAATATGTATTTATAAATACAATTTATTAATATATATTATATTATGATCAATTTGTGTAAGAAATCAAAACATAAACAAAATTCTTACTCTAAAAAAGCGGCAACACTTTATTCAATTTTGCCACACGCTGAACTGTCAATAAAATTTGAAGTATTACCCGTATCAGTTGCGTACAATTGTCTAATCTATTTAATTAAAATTGTTATTTTGTGGAATATTATACTTAAATGAGTTATTTCATAAAATTTATATTATTAACAATAACAAATGTTTTTGGTTATTTAATCAATATAATTCTAAAATTTCCAATATAATGATGATCAAATTTTTCTGATTATTACACTATGTTGACGCCTATGACAGATCGAGCAGTTCCGTATGGGCTTCGTATTATTAGCTGTGTTTAGGAAAATTTGAACTCTAAGGTTGACGTTCTGGAAATTTTAAATATAAGTAAGTCACTTTATATAAATTGTGACGTGCAAACATTTTTATATGAAAAATGCTATATCAATGTATTCTCATAATTTTAAATGTATATAAAAATGCGAGTTTGATGAACGTAGTGGGATCTTATAATATCAAATTCTCAAGAAAATAAAATCACTTTAAATATTTTGTCAATAGTTTATATCGTTTTAAATTTATAGTAATATCTATTTCGCACATATTTCTGCGAAAATATCAACTTTAAAATTGAATGACGTGCAATGAATTTATTAAGAAAATAAAAGTACAAAGCACGTTACGTAAACGTAAAGTTGGTTGCCTACCAACATAGGCAATATGGGTTTAAATAAATCAGGAGGCAAATCTAAAAAGGTTTTCGTAAACCATTGTTTCAGTTTTGCTTGATTATATTATTTTTAAATGTGACTTACTGTTTCTTCCTTCCATTATTGCACTATTTACATTTAATCATTTATGTGAATATATAAAAAAAATAAGAGACAGAATTCAGCCTTGTTTAGCGCTAACTCCCTTTATACATCTTTTTCAGTGCTCTAAAGATGTTTGTTGTATCATAAACTACAAGAATGTTGCATAATGTATCACGCTCTGGTATTTTTTTCTACACAAAAAAAAATTAATTTTGAACATTGATTTTATTTGACTCTTGTCTCGTATATTAAGTAAAATAATAAATATTCTTTCAAAGTATTAAAAAAGAAATTAACAATACTTACATTGAGATATCATTTTATCCCAACGTTAAAAATTTTCTTTTTAAAATATTTTGTAGGTGTCATCTTTGGAATATTAAAAACGTATTTTGACCTTTTTTGTGTTTAATTTATCCTTCAATTCCTTTTTACAGCATTATAAAAATAGGTCGACTAAAAAACGTAGAAAATCTCTGAAAAAATCAAATCTAGAACAGGCAATATCCTTGATTAATATTTGGAATGGGTCAACAAGAATTAAATCATTAAAGAACAGATTTTTACAACAAAAAATGTCATCGAGAACGAACTTTGCTCATTTTTTGAAGATAAGCTATATAAATCAGTCAATGTAAGTGTCATATACTTGACATTTTAGTAGTTCTATGACATGACACTTGAACGTTGACAGATGTCATGGGACGTTACTCATTTCCTTACTTACGGAGGTATGTAAGTTAAACACACATGTTTTTAATTAGTGAAATAAAGGAACAAAATAAATTTAACGCCATTTTTATTACATTACATGTATGTCTACAGAGATCTGTTATCAACGGTGCTTTTTAATCTGGTATTGGAAAAAATAATTAGAAATAGCAGAGTTCAAACGACCGGATCTATTTTCTACAATGAATCAATGTCTGGCCTTCGCTGATGATCTTACTATTCTAACGAAAACAAGAAAGGAATTAAGAAATTTTGGGGGCAAAATATTTTGACCTTCTAGGAAAATAAAATAAACCAGGAAAAGTCAAAATACATGATACTCCGAAATACAGAGCAAAAAGAAGAGAAGCAGTTTACTTTCATATCTAATGAATCAAGGGAATATCATTTCCAGAGTAGTATATTTTTACGTATCTGATAGTTATTATAGAAGAGAAAGATTAGGGAGAATTGAAACTGAATGTCAGATTGGCAATTGGGAAATAAAAAGATGGGAAGCCTAACCACTGATGAAATCCAAATGTATCGAGAAAAATTAAGTTAATGATATGTAAAACTGTAATAAGGCCCAGGACGTACGGGCAATGAAAAAAGCAAATATGAAGAAATTGGAAAATTCTCAGTGCTACATATAGAGGGAAGATTGGGTGCAACGAACAAACAGGGAGCTAGAGCAGGGGTGTCCAACTTCCAATGCCTCAAGGGCCAAAACTTAAACCTTTGATGTTGTCGCGGGCCATATAATAATTTTGTTACAAGTAATAACAAAATAAAGTGAGGTATAAAAATAATTAAAACAAAAAAGAGTATTATTTCTTTTATTGCTCAACAACTACATTTTTTTATAAAACGGAAAATTTATTGATAACACTTTTCAATAATCAAGACAAACATTACAAAAGCAACGAAAAAGATGTATCCAATTAGTGTGAGGACTGTGGTCGATAGGCTTCATCCACCAATGAAGAAATGTCCACCTCCAGTTCAGTTGTAGACACTCTCATAAGATGACGTAAGGAAGAATCGGTAAGGTTGTTTCTGTTTTTATTATTTATGTATTTCATGGAGGAAAAGGCACTTTCACATGTATATGTGCTTCCGAACATTGACGTCATTTTCAGTCCAAAATCTCGCAGGTTTGGAAATTTCTCCTTTGACAGTAATTTGAAAAGGTCCCGTTTCTTGTCTGGTGATTAGGAACATGTCTGCTTGAAGATCACATAACTCAAGCTGTAAGTTGGGTGGTTGATCATCAATGGTTCCTCCAAGAGGATTATTATAAAGTAGTACACTGCTTTTGAGACTTTCAATTTGTTCAAATCTTGTATTAAATTCATTAATAACTTGTTAAATTTGTGAAATGCAGCATGAAAACTCAATATTTTCCTCACCGTTGAATTCTTCTGCTATTTGCAGACAGCTAGGGAAGTGTGTCAGGTTATTCTTTTCCAAAGTACGTTTAAACACGTTCAGCTTATTCCGTAATCCGTTTAATCCATTCTGATCAAATCTGAAACCGTCTGGTTTCTTCCTTGAAGACTCAAGTTTAACATGTTAAGATGATTAGTCAGATCTGTTATAAAAGCTAACTGTCTTAAGAATTCTGGATCCTTAAACTTCTCTTCCAGTTCAGTTGTGTCAGATGAAACGTATTTGTTGAGGAATGCAGGGATTTCCTTTCTTATGGCAAAAAATCGTTCCATGCACTTTCCTGCACTCAGCCACCTTACATGGTTGTACATTAGCAAGTCTCCATATTCAGCCTCTGTTTCCACTAAAAACTGCTTAAGTTGCCTGTGTAAAAGAGATCGATTTCCACCTCTAATCATCTGCTTTTATCCAAACAAAGTGAGAAATATGAACTTTTCTTAACCAGGCTAAGCATAGATTTTTCTACTTGCTCACCCATAACAACAATCCTTCTTTGTATGGTTTGATGTGAAAGTGGCACTGATTCAAATTTCTCCGCCATTTTAGAATCACCGAAAGCTTTGGCCATTTCAACAGCACATTTTTTTATCAAATTGCCATCAGTGAAGGGTTTTTTGCCTTTGCCAGCTCAAGCGACACGGTATAAGATGCATGCAAAGAATGCGTTTGAGGGTGTAATTAGCAATCAAGTAATCACTCTCCCAACTTTCTTTCTAAATTCTGTTCTCACTATCAATTTTCCGTTTTACTGGTTTTACACTCAATATTGTATAAGAGGAATCATGACAAAGAATTAATCAAGTTCACTGTTCACTAGCAACGTAATAGATTAGCCGACTAGCCTACGTGTCAGTAGCACACTGGCACGATGGCAGCTGGCGACGGATGGTAAGCAGTGGGAGGTGTTGCCTGCGTGAACTGTGATGCGCAGTAATCAGTGCAGTTCTCATAGTGGTGGAGGACGATTGTGTTCGTTACACGTCCGCGAAGTGGCACGCGGTACAGTACTTGTGATGTAAAAACACTGCTAAACCATAAAATATAAAATAAATGAAAAAATCTTTTTTTATAATGGCAGCATTTAAAGAAAATATATGTTTTCGAAAATCTTACGTGGGCCACAACAAATAGCCTCGCGGGCCGGATGCGGCCCGCGGGCCGCCAGTTGGACAACCCTGAGCTAGAGGAACTGTGTAATTAACCAAATATCAGTCGCTTCATAAAGACACAGGGAGTGAGATGGATGAGACACGTGATGAAAATGAATCCAAAGATGATTTTATAGCGTAAAGCAAGATCTCAGAAAGAGGAGAAATTGAAGGTTGGGAAGAAAGAACAACAAACAGGGATGAATGGAAGACAATAGAAGTTAATTTAGTAGACAAGGAGCAGTCCCACACTTGCTATAAGTTTTGTAGTATACAAATACTACTTTTGTAGTATACGACATTGTTTTGTTGACGATAGAAATTAAGATTTATTGTAATCCCATGTCTAGAGTATATTTATTATAATGCTCTAAAACAATTTTTTTGTTACATTTTAGCCTATTTAATAGCAATACAAATAAATAAGTTATATGTTTTAATTGTCACTGAAATTGTACAAATTTTATGGACAAAGCTTATAACATAAGACAAGAAAGAAGAAAAAGGATTAAGAATCGTTTGTACTTTTAAATAAAAAAAAACAATAAAATTCTTCCAAACTAAACATAGAAAATACTACCTAATTAAGAACCTACAAACTTCGTAAAATGTACCTAACAAAAAATAAATTTATGAAAGCAGATTAATGAATTAAGGGTTCAAATATTCCACCTCGTTGTGCTAAACAGTAACAAATCTGTGATACAGATTTCTCTTCATATTTTGGAGTAGGGCTGTGTGTAATGCTTGCGGAGAAATGAAGTATTTTTGCCTTAACTCGACTAGGTTTTTGGCCCTTTCAAACTAATGCCTATAAATGTTTTCTTTGAGAAAACTCCAAAAAAGAAATGTTAGGCGATAAGTCACAGGATATGAGCGGGCCATTTAAATGAACCACGTATACTTATCAGTCGATCAGGAAACGTTTGATTGAGGAAGTAATAGTTGCTCTAGAGTTGTAAACCGAACACCCATCGTGTTGGAAATAAACCTGAAAAGTTAAAATATTTTTTAAAATTCATCCGCCTAATTTATCTTCCGGAAACAGTTCTTGTGTTGGTTGTATCTTAAAACAGTGATACCCATTCCTTTTGAGAACTCGCTGGACAGTTCGAGCATTCACGTTAACTTCCCTAGCAATTTGTACACTATTGCAGGGTTCACAGCTTCCACAAAAATCAATATCCCTGTTTTGACGCTCCCGATCGACAGGTCTAACACGTGGTTCATTACCTCCATGACATTGTCTATACATCCCGAAGTTTGAAAATGTTTAACGGTATTTTTTAACTGTTGTAACACTTGGTGGGGGTCTATTTTCGAATGCAACAATAAACAAATCAATTACTTCGCGTATCAAATGACCCTAAAAGTACCATGTTACAAGTTGCACTTTTTCTTGGACGGTATACAACGTAATAGACATTTTATTAATTATTTGTTTATTTCTTTCAGAACGTTTGAAATTTTTTAATGTCAATGTGACATACTTCGACAATTCGTATCTACTGTAAAATGAATATAGAGGTGGAAACTTGTCACAGCGATTGCCACTGTTGTTGTATGGTCAATAAAACATGTCGTGATCTATACAGTATTGGAAGATTCAAAACGGAACATACGAATTATTAATACAATTATTAAGATCCCCTGACCTGCAATTACCCAGTGTAAATTTCAATATAACGTCGCGATGTCTTATAATTAATTCATTTGTTCGACTGGACTCCTTCTCCAGTCGATATTTTTCGACTGCTGCGCACGTGCGCACCTTAATAATACGACTAATAGTTGATTGTGTCGGTATTGGCCTATCTTCATACGCACAAGTAAATAAATTTATAATATCACGGTACGAGTTGCCCCCATAATACCATTTTAAAATTTGTACTTTTTCTTTGTTTGTATACATGGTTTATGGTTAGAAACACTACTTTTATTTCAGCTTATGGCGTTATAATGAGAAGCAAAGCAAAGGGCATGTATTTGTTTTGCTCGGCCAGTGATGTTCCTTGGGACTGTTGCCAAATCGATAGATACCTTCGGCAAAAATCTGTAGATTTTGATGTATCATATACATCCTTTTAAATTTTAAATTATCAACAATATTTGGAATAATAAATATATTAAACTATACACTAACCAATTCAAATAATATCTAATGAACACAAAAAAATTGTTATTAATAAAACATTGTTATTATCTGCACAAAAACACAGAAAATCAGTGGACGATAGACAACAGTGTCGACGTACACCTGTCGAATACGCTACTAGAAATCGCCAAGGAGTAGCAATCCAGTCGAACAAATGAATTAATTATAAGACATCGCGACGTTATATTGAAATTTACACTGGGTAATTGCAGGTCAGGGGATCTTAATAATTGTATTAATAATTCGTATGTTCCGTTTTGAATCTTCCAATACTGTATAAGTATTATATTAAATGTATTTTAGCCCTAGGCCTCTAAGGTTGTTGAGCTTTGTAAATAAATATCCGTATCATTAATGCTGCAACTGGTCATATTTTCAATCCTAGATTTACGGTTTCGTCTCTGAGACTACTTGGGTAAAAAAAACAATAGTGATTATATTCTTTATTTTTGTCATTTATAAAATTATAATACGAAAATAAGATAAAAAGAAAATAAAAGTAGAGATGAATCAATGTGTAAATGTGTAGAAGTTTACGGGAATATATCTATCCAGAAATATCTTCTGCTTAACTTAAAGTTTAATACTTAAATCGAAACGCACTAGCGTCTATCTCTTGAATCAGAACGTCCTCTGGAATCTCGGCTTCGAGAACGAGACCTCGACCGTCTTGGCGACCTCGACCTTAAAAAAATATACACACAAATTTGTTAAAACACAGACAATTGCAAAATTGTTAAAATTTCACATACAACTTTTTAAAATGTCCAAATAGTCCAATACACAAAAAAGTAAAAATGTAAAGTAATTCGTTTCAGAACGAATCCTTACATGTATTTACATGTACATGAAACCTTTACATGTATTACATTTTTATTTGACTGGCCTGTAACACATAGTTCAGAATTCCCGTGAAAAAATGGTTAGTAAAATTGTTACACATTTAATTATTACCTTAGATGTTGTAGGCTGAAACTAAAATGTGGTTTTGATAAATCTATACATGCAAGATTCCCATTTTGTTAAATTAAAAAAAGTCCCAAAAAATTCAAAATTATTATAGAAATATTTATGTATTCTTGGCAAATAAAAATGATTTTATCAAAAAAGAAGCTCGTGTTTAATTTCTTAGATTGCATACTTATTGTACATCTCTCGTACACTGTCTTAATGGTCTCTTACTGTAGATGCATATATGAGAATACAGAAAGTGTCTAGTTTTTGAAAAAAACTTTAACATTGTTCTGAAGCTATTTTCTTGTGGCATTTTAAATTAATTACTATTTAACTGGGAATAAGCCACAATTAAAGATAAAAAATATATTTTATTGACGTTTCAATTTTCCACTTCGGAAATCGTTCTCAAAATACAAACAGTAAATTAAACAAATTTTGTTTTTTGTTACATAGTGAAATAATTCTTCTAATAATTTAATTTTATCTGACTCATTTGTATTGACAATTCAGACATACATTATGCATTTTAAAGTAGACGACTTTAAAATGATATTGCCAATATTGTTGAGTTGCGCTCCTGGGACGACTTTACTTATAAGGTAGTTCATTCGATTACATGAAATCAACTTTAACTTGAGAATATCCGTCAGAAAAAAATCATAGCATGTAATTCGTCTTTAAAAAGACAAACACATGACATGATGACAGTAAAATTCTCCTGTTAGTGATTCCATAGTAAATTATGAGGGAAAAACCAGGAAAAAAACCTCATAATACTATCCCGACATTGTAAGTATTTGTTCGTGAATTTAGTTTACCTTCAATAAACACCAAAATTCTGATTTTATATGTTTCGTTATTTAAAAAACATAAATGATGTATCCTCTATATGTTACTGACTTACTAATACTGGTATTTTCTTATGAATAACTTCCTCTTTCAATATTGGTAACCAGATCCTACTACATTCTGCCGAGGCATTTGCGACACAATTGGCCTCATTTAGCATTATTAGAGCCGCTTCTTTGATTTTTCTTTTTTACCATCCGTTTCTTTTAGGACTACATTTGAATTATTCCATTGAACCCTATGTTCATTTATCCCATGTGTGTTTACATATTTGAGATCTATCAAATTTCTATTTTTAATATAAGATTGATGTTCACTTATTCTAACATTTAATGGCCTTGATGTTTCACCTAAATAAAACTTTTTGTTGTTTTTGAATGTTGTTGAAATGTTGAATTTATTGCCTATCCTTTTTAAGTTTTTCTGATAATCCTTTTATGTACGGTATTGTTATTTTCCTCGTATTATTCCTTGTGTATGCTGTAGGATCTCGTTCTAAGTTGTTCTGTTCTATTCGATCGATTGTTGAAAATTCCTTATTTATAAACGATAAAGGATAATCATTTTTTAATAAAACAGATGTTAACAAATGTTTCTCCTCCAAGAACGAATTTTCGTTAGAACAAGTAATTTTGGCTCTATCGTATAAGGATTTAATTATTCCCTTTTTTACATTAATATTGTGATTTGATTTGAAATTTAAATATCTATTGGTGTGTGTTGGTTTTCTATACACCTGAGTCTCATATCCAGTATTGTTCTTAGAGATTAAAACATTCAGGAAAGGTAGCGTGTTATTATATTTCCTTTTCATGGTAAATGTTATTGTTTCTTCTTTATCGTTTATATCATTTAGGAATGTGTCCAACAACTCAATAAATCGTCAATAAACGTATTTTTTTATCTTTAATTGTGGCTTATTCCCAGTTAAATAGTAATTAAAAATTTTAACATTGTGATGCAACTGTTTTGTATTCTGCATCTCAATAATTTCCTAGAAAATTGTAGACTTGTTTAAAACTAACACATGCTTCTTTTTATGCAAGTGTCAGTTTTCTCAAAATTGTAATTTTTCATTAGCTTCCTAATGTCAGGGCCTACAAAAACGATAGACATACACAAGCCCCTTCCCACATCAGTTGGCCCACCTATGGAATTTGCAATTTAGTCAATTACCATAAAGAAATTATACTTTGCATGTTTTTATAAATTTTCATATTAATTAATATGGCGTTTTTATTAATATTTATTAAAAACATTACCATTACTGCTGAATCTTTACGAGTTCCGAAACACAGAACATCCAAATTTCAAAATTGCTTCAGATATATGGGACTGACCTTATACAATCATTTTTCAAAAATGTTAAAGATTTGCTCTTAAGAAAAGCATATTATTCCATAAATGAATATCTTGAGGACAAACTGCAGTAGTTGCATATTTTACTTGTAAAAATGTTATTTTATATTATTTTATGTTTTGTCAATTTTTTTTACACTGTGAATGTTGTATTATAGACATTAATGTTTTTTATATTGAATTTTGTAGCGACGTATCCTATACATTTATTTTGAATGTCTTAAAGGATCAATAAAGTATGACTATGACTATGGTTTTTTATTTATTTTTCAACTATATAAAAAAATTTTCACTAAACCCTGGCTATACATTCACTTGTCAACATATGTAGCAATTAATCTTGGTATTAAGGGGTTGGTCTGCAATGCATTGTTAATTGAGCCTGATTTAGGATGAGTGATAGAATATCATAATGCATATAGTTAAAAATTGATTATTTTTTAGAGGCCTTATTATAATTGAGCTATAAAATAAGTAAGAAACCAATTCTTGTCGATCGATTTTAAACAGAAATCCCAACTTTAAACTGACTTAAATTATTTTCTCAGCAGTTTATATCAAAAAGTATAAAGTAACTCTAAAAAAGTATAAAAAAGAGGTAAGTTTTAAAAGAAAGTACCGATAAAAAATTATAATAAAGCTGATGAATCTGTAAACAAAAATATCAGGAAAAAACTCATTTCATCACAATTTGTTAAAGGAACCCACACAACACCATACCCAATACATTAATAATAGTGATGAATCTTGTTACACCACACTACTTCTACGCCAAATCAGTCTGACGTCACGACGTTGTTTTTTTGAGGTTAAATCAAGATATTAATTGGACCCCGTTATGCAACAGGAACAACTAACATTTTTTCGAAAAAAAAATTCTTGGTTTGAATAGACTGTAAATAATATTATTCATGTTTTGCAATAACGAGCCAAATGTTCTGGCACCTCAGCACTATTTAGTGGACGATAGAACCATATTGCAGAATAATAAATTCGGTGCTACAGGTTTTTAATTTCGAACGAAGTAACTTTATCAACTTTCACTGAATTTGCAATTTGCGAGAGGTATGTGTATTGATTTATATTTTTTTAACTTCTAACTTAAAAACATTTTTAAAATTGTGTAGAATATTGTATTTTTTAGTTGCTTGTATCTAATACTATGTTAGTTAACAATTTTTAAAACAATAAGCTTTTTGTTTATAATTTTTTAATTCCACTTTGATTTTTTTTTGTAATATGTAAGTTGGTTCCTTATTGCAAAATTATTTTTTAGGTCCAGCCAATTAACAGCGAGAAAAAGCAGGGACCAAGTACCAGCAGTAGTTCATGTGCAGAATTAGAAATCAGTAATTTTGATGAACAGAATATATCGATTACTAACGATGTGGGTAATGAAGAAGATTCTGATGATTCTGTTAAGGATAACAATTTCGAACCTACCTACAGTGACATATCTTCAAATGAAAGTTTAGATCAAAATCTAAGTGAACAGTCTATTTTGAATGCAGAAATATCTTTCTAGGGTCGTCCAAGAAAAGGAAGAAAGAGAAAATTTACACAACAAGACAGAAAAGAAAGAAAAATAAAAACTAACAGCAATATGGAATATTACTCATCAAGAGGAAAACTAGTAAAATCAAGAGATTTTATCAGATACATGTATTCATGTGCCGCTAAATGCCATGAAAAATTTTCTGTTCAAACCCTTCTAACAGTTTTTCGAATACTATTGGCACTTAGCTGATTATAATCTACAAACTACATTTATATCAACATCCGTTAGAGAACATCCTGCACAGAAAAAAAATTTGCAGGCCACAAATCCTGCAGCACAACAATTCTCAAAAAATTACTTTATAAATAAAGTAGTAGTTTGTAGAAATATGTATACCAATACATTGCAAAGTGTCAACTAAACGCATAAATACTGCTCTTCAAAAAGTAAGAACTTTGACTACACTTGATAAGCGAGGAGTCCGCCGTGGGCACAACAAAATGTCAGCAGATGAAAGAAATATTATAGTTAACCATATAAACCAGTTTCCACGGTATGTATCTCATTACTGCAGAGCACGTAAAATGGACCAAGAATTTTTGTAAAAAGGAACTACTTTATCAATAATGTATAATCTTTACAAACCAAAAAGTAAAAAATCCTGCCAGTTTCTCAACTTTTTTTGTTGTTTTTTGAGTTTTTTTGAATGATTTTAACTTGCGACTAAAAAAGCCAAAAAAGACACCTGCAATAAATGTGATGCCTTTAAAATAAAGATACATAGTATTAAAGATGATGAAAAAGAGGATATTGTTAGACAAGAGGAACTGCATTTGGAACAAGCTGAATTAAGAAGAAAACAAATGAACCTTGACTTAACCAAAGCAATAGAAGATGAACAAATAGAAAACTCTGACCGTTGATTTAGAAAAACACTGCCTTTATCTCGCATATCTTCAAATATTATATTTTATAAAACGACAGTTATGGGTATATAATTGCGGAATTTATGCAGGTAAGCAAAAAAATCCATTTTTCATTTATGGCTCAAGGACAGGCAGGCGGTGGAGCTCAAGAAGTGGGCTCTTGTCTAAGAAAATAATATTTTCAGTAATGTTAGCGATAAAGTTGAGCACATTATTCTCTGGAGCGACTCTTGCGGGGGTCAAAACAGGAACATTAAAATAGTTCTTCTGTTAAAATGTCTTCTAGAGGAATCACAACATTTAAAGACTATCAGGTTGAGATTTCTTCCAAATGATAGTGATTTTGGAGATGTGGAATGTGCACTTAAAAGGCAACATAATATATTTTCACCTGGGAAATATAACAATATAATGAAAACTTGCAGACAAAAACGACCCATTACTGTAAATATTATCAACACAAGAAGATTTTTTGAGTACCGCAAAATTAGAAAAACAAATCACCAACAGAAAAGTATAACCAACAAGACAATAAGTTAGTTACAAACCAAAGAAATTAAATTGTGTAAAGATAAGCCCTAAAGCATATTTTTTAAAACGACTTATCAAGACACTGACGATTATACAGAAATAAGCATAAAAAAGGGAACAGGAAGAGAACCTTCAACTGGGTCACAGTTTGCCACGTATTTAGAACCATTGTGGCCTAAAGGAAAGCCAGTTTCGGAAGCAAAACTTAAAGATATACATAGATATCTTCACTTAATACCCTTAAGTTACCACGATTTCTATACAAATCTTATAGCAGATAATACTATAATCGAGGATATAGACGGATTTACAGAAATCCAGATTTACTTTTGAGTGTTTTACTTTCCAGTACTTACCAAACAATTTCCCAAATAAATAAAACATTTTTCTTGATTTTCTCAAAACTAAATGTCAGTTGGTTCCTTGTTGCATAACAAGAGCCAATTATACTTTCGTGATTTAATTTTGTACCTACAGATATAGCTTTTTTGTTATTTTTTCATCTTCAATGAAAGCTATTGCATACTTTTTCTACTAGATATGTTTGAAAAATGCCTGGATATAAACTCAAAGAAATGACACTGTTACGTCAGCACTGATATGGTGTATTGTAAAAAAAAAATAAAACCAAAATGTTCGGTAACTCTTGTTCTAGATGCAACACTTACTACTAATGCCATTGTTACATGTCTTTAAAATACATATATGTCCAATAATCTTTAAGGTTTATAATTACTAATTTTATGTTTGATTGAACGTCATATATTCCAAATTTGTATTTTAAAAGACATTTAACAATACGAAAAACTTATTTTTCTTACATTATCAGCAATGTTTCCCTGTTGTGGGGATAGTTGAATGAGTTGGAAACATCACTCGGTTGAGGGGGGTTGGCAGGTAAAGTTGTGCAGGCTTTCTCGATGTCGTGTTGTCAAGTCACTAGGAAAATCACTATGCAACAGTAACACTACACATTTTGGAAAATTATATCACTCCTGATTAAATATCAGTGTTTTGTAATCATACATTCTTTCTTAGGGTTTATAAGCTAGAAAAAATGTATCTTCACATTAAGCTGATGCAAAGTTTGCCACGAAATTTTAAATTTGTAATGTTACTTGAACCATAGTGATTTCCTGGTGGTAAAATGAAGTTGCTAGGGCACAGTTATATATTTTTTTCTGCATGTATTCCCCAATAGTGTTGTGCTGGGAAGAAAATTTAAAGATGCCGAAGTGGTTTGATGTGGAGTGCTGACTTCTACTTTATAGTTGAACATCATTCTATAGTAGTAGTCAAATTGAGGAGAGAAATAATTTTTCAGTAGATTGATGACAATCTGATCAGCTTCCCGGGTCAGGGTGGGTAGATGTTTAGTCGATGTGAGATGAAGAGATGTGTAACGGACCGATGGTCCTTGTTTTGGAGAAAGGGTAACAGCAGTGGGGCTGAAGGCCTGCAATATGAGCGCGAAACCACTTTATAGCTGATATATTATTCTAAAAATATCAATTTGTATAAATATGATTTTTTGTCCAATTAAATATATTTATTGGATAATATTTATACAAACTGAAAAAATAATCTCATAAATATGTCATCTGGCAGCCTGTTTTTTAGGTTAGAATTAATTATTTTATATACTTAGATTTTTAGTTATAATTTTATTTTTGTCATAGTAAATCGAAAGAAAGTAATAATTAATATCTGAATGAATAATGACATAAAATAGTGCCATAAAAATAGTGTATACTACGTTCCACGTTTAGAAAATAACATTGCGGAGATAGGGCCATGTATTTCTTATGGACGATTAGAAACGCGGCGTTGCCACGACACACACCAAGCAATTATTTAGGGTTGTATAATTTATATTTCCGTTTCCACAAACATGAATTAAATTATTGTTTTTTAACGTAATTGACCAAAAGTTCCCATTCGAAACAAGAGATGAAAAGTAGGGAAAATGATTTTAATTAGATAAATAGTATTTACAAAAGATAATTTTATTTTATCTTATTTTTAATTATAGTAACGACAGTTTATTTGTTTTTTGGTGAGAATACGATATGCTATGAATCATAGAAATCAGTAGAAATATTGACCGCTTGGAATGCCTATATCTAATTACTAATTGCAACTTAAAATAATACGATGTGCGTATGTCAGCTATTTTATGTCGTTCTCTGACTACATAATGATAATAAGGCTTTTATTTAGTAGTTATTCCGACTTTACAGTTAAATTAATTACTATTTATAACTGGGAATAAAGCCACAATTAAAGATAAACATACGTTTATTGACGTTTCAATTTCCAATTTCCGAATTGGAAATGAAACGTCAATAAACGTATTTTTATCTTTAATTGTGGCTTATTCCCAGTGATACTCTATTTATAACTGGGAATAAGCCACAATTAAAGATAAAAATACGTTTATTGACGTTTCAATTTCCAATTTCCGAATTGGAAATTGAAACGTCAATAAACGTATTTTTATCTTTAATTGTGGCTTATTCCCAGTTATAAATAGTAATTAATTTACAATGCCACAAGAAAATAGCTTCAGAACAATATTAAGAAACCGTTATGGGCCCAGCGTTATTCAAAATTTTAGGAGATTGGAAATTTTACAGTTTAAATGTTAATTAAAAATGAAAATTCAAAAATTAAGCAAAGGGAAATATCTGGACATTCACGTGCAAAAGAGAGTGTCTGAGAGTTTTGGCAACACTGATCTCCATAAGCGTTATGTTATTTTCTTAACTTGAAATAAAGAATAGTAAAAAAAAACTGTGATAGGGGCTGCACGACCTTGACATAGGTTCGAAGGCTTAAGCTGACTATTCAGAGAGGGCTGTAGTCTGGTGTAGGAAGTGGAACAAGTATGTGTGTGTGAATGAATGGGATGTCCCTAATAAGGAGCTCTCCGTTGAATGAAGTACCCCTATAAACAGGCTAGGCCTAGTGAATGGGAAGTATAGAAAGATGTGAAACGACCACATTAGAACAGTTCCTATCATCACATAGCTCTCTGGGATATTGGGGAATTTCTCCCAGGTATTCGAGATACTAGGAATGAATGAACTGCTTCAGCGACCAAGAAGCAGCCTACCCAAGCTAAGGTGTGAGGTAATCGTGCCAATGGCTGTATGACCACAGGGTTTTATGTGGTCGTGAACAATCCCCCTGGGAAACGAGGCAAACTCCATTGTATAAAGCCTTCCCCTGATAATGCGGGGCTCTGCCAGTGGCGACCAACCTTTCCCTAGCTACTCGTGGGAACAAAATAAGCTATGCTTATAAAAAATCCTGTCCAATAAGGATGGTCCAAGAAAGTCGCAAAACCAAATCTTGGTGGTGCACTAAACTGGACACCTTAGGAAGATAGCAAGAACAGCTTTTAATAAAGCAAAATGCACCAAACTCAAGAGGATTGGAATTCTTATCAATCAAATCTCAGAGAGTTTAAAAAAGTCTGCAGACAAAGAGCTGCTTGGAGAACCTTCTGTGAGGAAATCGAAGATTAATCTCTAATCTGTTACAACCTTAGATCTGTTAGACCTAACGGGAAATGCAAATTCTATTGTATAACAATAGAGAAATAAAAAAGATAATAGAAAAAACAGTTCAAAAATAACTGAATGCATGTTGCAAAATTAACGGAAACAATTAACAAATAACTGTGTGTTAAAAGGTGGATGACTGGAGTGTCATAAAAATACCCTAAATGAATGTCCTGGAATCCCTATCAATATAGTCCCTATCAAGTTCCTGGAAAAGGAGAAGTATAGGCAAAACCTAGCAATATTAAATTGAAAAAAGGGAGAAAAAATTATGTTTTGGTGTGAAAAGTACCTTAAAATAACAGATATTTCAAATTTACAAGAACTCCTTGTATTTTATTTTGTATGTACAAATATAAAAGGCAAATAGATCTATGATATTGAGATTATTTTAATTTATATATCATTTAAAGTAATTTTAATCTAAAATATATCATTCAAAACGGAAATTTACACATATTTTAGCATATGATTACAAATAATTGTTTTTTTTTTGTTCAAGGTGTGATAATATATATTTAAAAACATAGTTTTGCATAAAAATCAATCAAAAAACTTATTAAAATACAAATTCCAAATAATAGGCATAATATAGATATTGAATACTGATAGTGATGACATATTTGTGAGCCAAAGTTTCTAGAATTGAAATATAGACAACAAAACAAAAATACTAACCTGGAATATCTGGAAGGTCCTCTTCTACCTCCGCCACCACCCCCTCCTCTTCTGGAACGGCCACTTGACATTTCTACTCTGACTCTAGTGCCACAACAACGCCTGGGAATAAAATATAATATATTTATATCCCTGTTTCTTTTATAATGGCATACAGGCAAATTATTTGTCTTTATAAGTATAAATTGACATAATAAAAAGAAAAGAAAGAAAGTTATGTATTAAGGAAATTAGAAGACTGATAATCAAAAAGGTATAAGATCTGAATACAACTCAAAACTCTTGATGTAAAAAGTAAATATTTATAATTTTGGAATTAAACTTTGCAACTCTATAAAACTGCTGGAAATACAATATTTTATATTTTTGGATAATTTAATGGGGAAAATAATTGGTATTTACAATTGATTTATAAATTTTATATAACTACTATGGATAACATTTTTCTCTTACTAGTTTTTGATTTCCTATACTTTTTATGAACTTTTTTCAATTTTTTTTTTACATTTTCTCACTTTTTGTATGTTTCAGTAGAAGTAAATGTGTATAGTGTAAGTATACTACTAGCATATGCGGATGACATTGACATTGTAGGAAATACCGTCACCAATGTAAAAGAAACCTTCAATAAGTTAGAGAGAGAGGCAAAAAATACTGGTCTAAGGGTCAATGAAGAGAAAACCAAATATATGTGCATTAACAGACAAAAGAGACGAGATAGAATAGGACAAAATGTAACAATAGACCCTATAACTTTGAAAGAGTGGAGAGTTTTAAATATCTCGGAACGGACTATCACCACAGATAACGATATCACGGAAGAGATAAAAGGGAGAATTCAGGCAGCAAACAGATGTATGTATAGCCTCCACAACACTATTAAATCCAAGAGCCTAACAGGAACATCAAAAATCAGGATATATAAAACAGTAATTAGACAGGTGCTCATGTATGGGTGTGGACGTGGACGCTGACAAAAGCAATGGAAAGTAAACTCAGATGCTTTGAGAGAAAAATCCTCAGAAAGATCTTCGGTCCCTATCACGATCCGAATACTAACCAATACCGAATGAGAACAAATGCTGAGGTCAAACAAATGTATAGTGCTAGCGATGTAGTCCAAGAGATTAAATCCCAACGTCTAAGATGGGCTGGCCATGTTCATAGGCTCCCTAATAACCGCCTTACCAAGTTAATCTGGGAAGAAGTCCCGACAGGGAGAAGGCCCTTAGGACGTCCACGAATGCGATGGAGAGATAATATATGGTCAGATTTGAGAACAATGGGGCTACCCACTGACTTACATCATGGACGACCGTTCGAAATGGAAGCAGGTTGTGCAGTCAGCCAAGACCCACCCTGGGTTGTAGTGCTACCAGAAGAAGAAGAAAACGTGAAAATTTTGCCTTTTTTCCTATTTTTTCAGATAAGTCCACCAAAAATTCGCATTTTTAGGGAACCTTACTAATGTAAACAAATACCAAATGCAGTAAAGGCAGCATTAAAATTCGTTTAATACTACTTGTTCATTTTAAATTTTAAAAAAGTAAAATTCATTTGTTTTTGGAATTAATTGTTAAAATACCAATAAGGAAAAGCTATATTAAATTGTTTTACTTAATAAAACATTAATAAATTATATCAATATTTGCTTTGTATGACATCGGCAGTTCCTATTTGTACAAAACTCATTGGAAAAAAAAATTAAAAATATTGATTACCATTATACCAATTCGTTTCATTATTGATTTGAATAATTTGACCAAAGTCAAATAGTACAAATTAATGTTGTACTGGTAGAAAAAGGGAGTGGCGCTTTAATTTAATAAAATTTATCATTAATGTGTTTTAGAAAGTAGTTTTGCTAATGACATTGGTAACTTACGTTCCATCCAAGCTTCTAACGGCATCTTCGGCGTCTCTAGGGTCTTCGAACTCGACGAAAGCAAATCCTGGTGGATTTCTTGCCACCCAAACGTTTCTTAATGGTCCATATTTCCCAAAAGAGTTTTCTATTTCATGCTTGCTAGCTGATGAACCAAGATTTCCAACGTAGACTTTACAGGAAAGGTCCCACTCCTTATGTGGAGCCATTTTTCTCCTATGAAGACGGATAATGAAATCGCTTATGTTTTTTACAAAGACAGAAATTATATGGAATTACGTACCTGTTTCTGTTTATTTTGACGGTTTTTTCGAGTGTTAAACACAAAAAATTGAATTTTAACGTATAGCTTAAACTTGTCGATTACGCAGAATGGACAATGAGCTGAATAAGAATGGCTGCTGAAGATAATTATAAATAATTGACAATTGACCTAAAAATATTTGTGTTCAAACGGTGTGAAGTTAGGAGCTAGACCACGCTAATTGACCATAGGCGGACGCTCTGAAATTTTAATCACCATAAAAGTACACGTGTAATTTTTTTATGATTAAAGTTTGATGAAACCCTTTATAATAAGAATTTTTGTTCCAAATTTTATTATTTTTATTTACTTATTGACTGTTTTGCGTATGCACAATTAGTTTTATTTATTTTTAAAACAGTTCCTAACTATCATACGTATATAGCGAGTCATTAAGGACAACCACAATTAGAGAGAATTTATATGGTAATTTTACAACTCATAACATACTTTCAAAAAACACGTTTTCACGGGGTTTTTTCAGGGCGGTGGCACAGAATAAGAAACAATTGTTTCTTATTCTGTGGCGGTGGTATATCTGACCTTAAGTAAAAATATATAAGATAGCGTTCCATTCACTAGCCTTCAGGCGAATGTCCAACTAAATGCTGTTGTAGTAATGTCGTAAGATTTGTCTGAATTTGCCGTATTTTCACTTTTGCATTAAAATTAAATTTTAATATGCCAGTGTGATAATTCAGCCATATAAAGTGTTGCGTACATTTAGGCGTGTTTTTATTTCTGCATTAAAATCTCTCCTTCCTAAAATTAAGTACGCGCAGACGTTCCGCCATGTTTTAGAGGGAACCAGTGTTGTTTATGTGGTGTACATAGAAAAATTAACCCGGTTTAATTGACTTACGGCAATCATAGACATACTATACAATTATATTAACATTGTTAAATATAATATAATTAAACATAAATATAAACAATTACATAACCTCACAAATCATATGTCTGTGTCAATCACGTTGTTATGTGTTTCCTTCTAAAACATAGCGCGCGTGCTGAAAAACTTCAAAGGCGGCATCTGAGAGTGGGCATTCTGATTGTTTATTATTCTGCGCCATGGTATTAGAAAACCATTGTACGAATGCAACCCACAATACAGCTAGTTGTATTGAGTATACCGGTATTCTTTATACCATGAGTATAACCCATGATACTATAACAAAACAAGATAAGTCGGTAGTTTTATAATTTTCACTGTAGTTCTTTTTTGTTTGTCTAGTTTTCTTCTTTGAGTGGACTAACGTAAAACCATCATTGTCTTGTCCCATATCTTCATTTATATTTACTAAAGTTTGCATTTTATTTAGCTGTGCATTACTAATTTCTGCAGATGTTGAATTATTACCAGGACTTCTAGTACTTTCGGCAACACCGGTGTTTGGAATTTATTTGTAATTTTATAATTTGGAGGTAATTGTTTGATATGACTTGTTTTTTGTTTGACTCTTTTAACTGGTTGTTTAACAGGTTCAGTTTTTGCTTCCATTTGGCTTATCTTTTCTTGTAGATAACGATTGATTTTGTTTTAAAAGAGAATTATTTTTTAGTAGTAAATTAAATTTTTCTTCTTTTTCTTTTACTATATTTTTAAGTAGCTCATTTCTTGTTTGTTTCACAGCAAATTATTCGTGTTTCACAAATTTTGATGCACTAAAACTTACTTCTGGTTGCACATGACAAATGAAAAACATTTCCACACTGTACACAAACTAAGATTTTAGTAGCTTTACTTTGACAGCACTTAAACTGCTTCTCTAAGAAATTTTCGTCACTAACTAGAGAGAGCACATTTAAACGCTGCTCACCAGTCGGCGCCATCTTGTGTTTGGGAAAGAAAAATCCTAAGGAAGATCTTTGGTCCTGTGCTGGATGGAGCATCAGGACAATATAGGATAAGAACTAACAAAGAGCTCGAATAACTTTACCCAGACACCAATATCATAAAAGAAATAAAGTCCAGAAGACTCCAATGGACAGGACACCTCAGACGACATTCTGACGAACGAACAGTAAGACTGGTGTGTGAGGAAGTCCCAACTGGAAGGAGACCACGCGATGCCCTCGTCTCCGGTGGCGAGATAATATAGCAGAAGACCTAAGCACTATGGGCGTGGAGAATTGAATGGAGTAAGTAAGTAAGTACTTGATATAAGATCCTCAAGCAATATTTTTGTATTCCGAAGAGCAATCAAGTTTTTATTATCTAAATGTTACTACAGTATAGAGGAATTTTTGAGGACAGTTGCGCTAATTGATATATATATTTTAATTATGGAAATTTTATAATTAGTATTATAAATTATAATGTATCTTGTGCCTTGTTTGTACTATACCATATTGTGTTTTATAAATGTAAACTCATTTTAAAAACAATAAATTTTTTTTCTCTCTCTCTCTACCATTTAGGTAGATGATCAGATCTATTAGATACGACTCAAAATTAAACTTTTTTATGTTCGAGAGCTCTTTTAAGAATGATTTCAATAAAGGATGGGATAATAATAAAAGGATAAAAATAAAAAATTACACCTAATTTCTTTATTATTTGATTATGAAGTCAAAATACGAGACTAATATAGACAAAATACAAACTTAGAAATAAAAATCAATGTAAAAACTGTAAAATATCAAGATTATACTTATCATCCAGAAAATCTTTCCTTCTTCAACTTATATATTAAATGATAAATCTTAAAAGTTAACGTCTGTCTCTTGAATCTGATCGTCCTCTGGAATCTCGGCTGCGAGAACGAGATCTCGGACTTCTGGAACGTCTCGGGGATCTAGACCTTAAAAAATATACATAAACATTTGTTAAAATCAAAATAAATAGTTGCAAGATCTCGTATGTAACATTAATTGAGGGAAAAAGGTAAGTTTTTAACACAAACTAGCAATCTTTATACCAAACATACCAAAATCTTTCTCCACAAACTAAAAAATCTTTTAAAATGTAATCTGTTAGATATTATATTAAACTAAGAATCACATATGAATCAATTGAGACAAAAAAATGACAAAAACGTCACATGCAGCAGCTAAACATTAGTTAATGTAGTAAACAGGTGTATAGAAGAGAACAAAACAAAAATGGTTGGTCAACAGGACCATTATCTTGGCCAATTAACTGGAAAATGATAAATTAATAAACAGCCAACATTATAACAAGTTTTAATAAAAGAATAATAAGAAAAGGACTAATTCTATGTATCAGAAAACACAACTGTATGCAGATATGTGCTAATTAGTCAAAGAGTTGATGCCTAGGCATTGTCATTCATTTCCAATAGTTCAGAACATGAAATATTTGTCTCATTCGAAGATAATCACTGAGAAAATACATACTTCCTGATTTTCTATTCCTAAAAATGAAACATACATTGATAAAACTGAATATATACAATAGTACACTGAAATATCAGAATTTTGTAATAGCAAAAAAACTTGCAAATGTTTACACTCAATCTATCATATTCTAAAAAAAACAAAGAACACATTTAAACAAAGACAAGAAATTTGAAGCCACACTACATGTAGAACACCTACTAGAATCACTGCAAATTCGCTAATAAAGAGAGGAGAAAACAGAATAAATATGTAAAAATAACATTTTAGGTATTTCTGGTATGGATCCGACACTTACTACTAAATTCATTGTTACATATCTTTAAAATACATCTTTGGCCTTTAAAATTACTAATCTTAATAATAAAATAATAATCTTACTAATAGATAAACTGTTAATAAGTGTTATGAACAGTTATATGTAAAAAAATATGTAACAATGGGAAAAATCTATTTTTCTTACATTATCAGCAATGTTTCCCTGTTGTGGGGATAGTTGAATGAGTTGGAAACCTCTCACATTTGGGTTGAGGGATGCAGTTGTGCAGCTCGATTTCATTGATGATATTAAACCAGCCACCAGGTAAATCATTTTTTATTTAGCATCTTAGTAAAAAAATATACTTACAGATAAGTTAAAACATCAACTAATTTTTTGTATATTTGAAATGAACAATATTTCTGTTCTTTTATAATCTTACCAATTTAAAAATTGAATAAACAATATACTCCAGTCGTCAGAGATGAAAATGCCACTGAACTATAAAAATCATACCAACACACTGAATTTTGCTGACGACATCAAATTTTGGAGATCCGTTAAAAGTATTTCAGATCAGCAACTGCTTCATGGGACTTAAATCGTTTGTGAGAGTGGTGCCAAAATAAGCTAAATTAGAATATCAAGAAATGCAATTTTATAAGTTTCTCTAGCAAAATTACTAGGTTTGAGTAAAGCTATTTTATTCATAACCAGCCATTACAATACACATCTACAGTAACAGATCTGGGTGTAATTTTCAATGAGAAATTAACTTTTGTCGATCATATTAATTCTATATCAATTAGGGCATCAAAGGCGCTGGGCTTTATTACTAGAAATTCTAGTTTTTTCTCCATTGTAGCCACAAGAATGGTCTATTGTTCTTTGGTCACTTGGAGTACTGTTCAGTCATATGGTCTCTTTATTTTTGGATACATTCTGATTCCTTAGAGAGGGTTCAGCATAAATTCCTACTCCTTTCAAAGTTGGATTAGAATGGTAGACCATGACATTATCATGAAGAGGTCTGCGAGCTTGCCTGCTTTAAGTGTGAGGAGGGATCTGTGTGATTTTTAAATTAATAAATGGTAGAATTGATTGTCCCTCTCTTGTGAGTCAGATTGGTCTTAGAGTACCATATTACCATGTTGTATAACAACCTATAGTGTTAATAGCCCACTGAATATATAATATTCTTTGTTAAACAACTTGAATGCAGATGTATTTAATATGTCTCTCAATAAATATATAAACATTTGTAGAAAAGAGTTACTGGTACCTTAGAGTTTCAGCCATTTTTTCTACAACATACTGATTCTTGGTATGTCAAATTTTTCAGGAAGCCGGGGGTAAGAATAACAAACTTTTTGGGGTCCCAAATTGACATTATCAGATAAATTCTAATTGTTTGTCACATTCTAGAAGTCAAATCTGTGACGACTGGACATTTTTCCCTATTCAAAAGCCAAAACGCTAAAATAAAGTTATTATTTTTGTCTTTTTATGCATTATTATTGTTCTAACTGATTGATGAACTATTTGCATTAAAATTTGTGTAAGTATAAGGTAACATGTAAAAGAATCTAAAATATTACTAAGTGCTGGTGATTTTCTGGTAGATAATCAATATATTGTTAACAAATTTTGCAGGACCATAGTTATTTATCTTTCCTGTGTGCATTCCCAAATAGTGTTGTGCCGAGAAGAAAATTTAATGATGCTGAAGTGGTTTTGGTGCCGAATGCCAACTTCTGTATCATATTTAGTTGAACATCTAGTCGAATTGTTTGTTATTGGAGAAAAATAATTTTTCAGTAGATTGATGACAATTTTATCAGCTCCACAGGTCAGGGTGGGTAGATGTTTAGTCGATGTGAGGTGAAGAGATGTGTAAGGGACCATTGGTCCTTGTTTGGAGAGAGGGGAGCAGCTGAAGGCCTGCAATATGAGCGCGAAACCACTTTATAGCTATTGTAATATTCTATATTATCAACTTGTATAAATATTCTTTTCTGTCCAATATATTGGATAATATTTACACAAATTGAAAATTTATCTCACAAATAAGCCTCACAGTACACATATCCATTTAAATATGGTCGTTTTTGATCTCTTTCAACATGGTAGACTATATATTAATTACAAAATTATTATAAATCCACTTGAGACTTATTGTGAGATTAAGTATATGTATTTCTTTCAATAAAAAAAATCACCTTGAATATCGGGAAGGTCCTCTTCTTCCACCACCACCTCCTCGTCTAGAGCGTCCATTTGACATCTCTACTCTTACTCTGGTACCACAACAACGCCTGGTAAAATATAGAAATATAAGCATAAGATGATTTACAAAAAGTCAAAAATAATATTGTATAAACGATAACTAACACAGCAAGTAAAAGTACTTTTAGCAATCAAAAATGAACTAACTTATGAACTTGTTAATGTTACCTGTGATAGTGATTGTGTAATACTTAAGATAAATTTAAAAAACTTTACCCTTTATGTTTCCGCTGTGAATTTTATACCTAAAGCTGATGCTGTGATGTATGAAAATTATTTTAATTTGTTTGAGAATATTTTATTATCAAAAAGTAATGTATGTTACTAGGAGATTTCAATTTACTCTATTTTAATGATAACAGCTTTTTGGATTGTGATAAATAAATAACTTGCAACAAATAAATAATATTCCTAATTGTATGAATAGATTTTTAGATTTTGCTCTGACTAATATAGATGTTTGTACTGTGGCAAGGTCTGCCTGTCCATTAGTGGCTGAAGATTGGTATCACCCCACCCTCATCTTCAGTATCAGAGTCAGTGAAATAGCTATTTACCAGGCAACAAAAAGGTATATACATACAACTATGCTCAAGGTAACTACTGGCATCTTTATCATTTAATTTTTCAGTTTAACTAGTCCTCGTTATTCTTATATAAGGATATTAAAAATGCTTTTAATGTTTTTTATAGTCAAATGTACACCTTTTTAAATTGTTCTATTCCTAAAGCCAAAAAAGGGCCAGCAACTCTACTTCCAGGTTTCCAAACTGGTTCTTCAGATTGGATCCATAAAATTAAAAAGAAAAATAGTTTGCGTCATTTGTGTTATAACTTATACTAACGTTCACTTGAAAACCATCTACTTGCTGACCCAAACAAATTCTGGACTTTCTTTAAATCAAAATATAAGAATAGTGGACTTGCCATAGAAATGACATTAAACAACTCCAAGTTTAATACACCTTTTGATATTGCGAGTGCCTTTGCTAAGGCACTGATACATCTGACTGCACACATTGTCATTCTCAAAGTACTGAGTGGGGTTCTTTTACCTTTAAATATATCACAGAATTAGATGTTGTAAATAGTATTAAAAAACTTAAACCCAAAAACCTACAGGCCCTGACGAAATACCACCCTATATCTATAAAAGAATGGCTGAACCCTTTGCTGAACCTCTGGCATTTTTGTTTAATATGTAGATGGAACAGGAATATTTTCCAGGTATTTTAAAAATGGCAAAAATTTCTCCAATACATAAAAATAGATAAAAAAAATGACATTCAAAACTACAGGCCTATCAGCCTGTTAAATAGTATTGCTAAGATTTTTGAAAGTATTCTTTATGATGATATATATGCATTGAGCAAAAAGACAAAAGAGGGGATGTAAAGGTAGTGGGAGCAAAAATATTGTTAGACAGGAAGTGCGATCTTTAGAGGCCACTCTAAACAAGGAAAGAGAGTCTCTCTCCTTGTTTGACATCAAATTTAGTTGGGTCATGTTAATAAGTGTCGGAAAATTTAAATTTGGCGCATTCGCATTTCCTAATATGACCGCCATTAGAGGCCACTTTTTTGGTCTCCTTTTCATAAGGATTAGATTCCCTCTTTTGTCTTTTTGCTCGATGTATATATGAGCATGTAAATAAGCATTTGATAAGGTAAATCACTGTATTATTTTAAATAAACTGGTATCAGTTTGGTTTCTCAAGAAAATTTATTAAAATCTTATTTGTCAGATAGAAAGAATACAGTAAAAGTAGGTAATTGCTTTTCTCACCAATATGTGTCATCCTCAGGAGTCCCACAGGGGAGCAAACTAGGACCATTGCTCTTTATTTATTTTATTTATTAACGACTTGCCAGACTGTATTAAATCTCGTAACAGCTTAATGTATGCCGATGCTTTTTATAAGAAAGATGCAGTCAAATTTGCTAGATGATCTAAGGTCAGTTATTCAATAGTTTAATGATTTAAAAATGACTCTTAATGTTAAAAAGTGTACAGTAGTTTCATATATATGAAAACTCCATAGTGTTATTGAAGATTATTACATTAACAATGATCTAGTTGAGAGAATGAGTGTTCTCTAAAGGATCTTGGACTTACAATTCCAAATCAACGTGAAGTTCAATACACATGTTTATGAAATAACTAGCAGAGCTTATCATGGTTTAGGTTTTGTCTTAAGAAATAGCAAAAATTTCAGAATAAGCACAATTTTAAAACTCTATAATGCCCTGGTGAGACCATATATGGAATTGCTTCAATAATCTGGTCTCCTACTGCATTTTCAAACTCAGAAATGATTAAAAAAGTGCAAAAATGATTTTTAAAATTTCTATATGTAAGAAAAAATAAGAAATATCTATATGTGGTCTGGTACAGGGTAATGTTAGACTCATTTTAGTTGCAGTCACTTGCCACTAGAAGAAACAGTCAGGCCATTATGTTCATATACTTGATTAGTATTAAGCACACAAACTGTGGTTTAATTGAGTTTATTTACTTTAGGTTTAGAGTACCCAAGAGTAGGTTAAGGATAACTAACCTAGATCTATTCTTTACAAATTACTATAAAAACATCACCAATAAACAATATGTTCAAAATTTGTAATGAAGTATTTAATGACAGACTCATGTGGATATATTTAATGTAAAAAGCTGTGAACTTAAGACATTGCTAGATCATCAGCACTAGGTTTAAGGGGTTTAGGACGATTTTTCACATTTGGTCCCATTGAAGATAGCTTCAAATGGGTTTGACAGAATGAAATATTGGTGTTTCGCAGGTGTTGAATTTATATTACAAACGAAACATACGCAATTAAAAGCAATAAGATATTTAAAAACTAATATTTAACGATTACGAAAAAAGAAAAAGCAAATAGTTTTTAAAACAGTTTTTAACAGTAAATAGTAAAATGTCAGTATAAATAATAAAATTTAAAAGGCATTTGTTGCAATCTGGCAGCTGTGGGTTTGAGGGTTCTGACTCTATGGACTACCTAAGTCTGACGTCACAATGGGCGGGGCTTAGAAGATTTTTCCAAACAAAACAAATATCGTGTTTGTATTTATGCATGTGTTTCTCGCATAAGACTTTGGAAACTTTGATTTTTTTTTATATTTAAAAATTTAAATAAGGAATTTCGCTCCTATATATCTATTCTGTGCGATTGGTTTTATAGGCTGTTCTTGAATTTGTGAGGTAAGTGTATCAAAGTATTAAGATATTTACTGTAGAAGTTCATATTTTGAGGTTATTTTTTGCGGGATTAAAACTTTAATTATTTTTTCTTTATTTCAAGGTATTTTGTTGTTGTTTTTACCGATTATTTCAAAATTAATTAATAAATCTTTAAATTTATTTATAAAGTTGAAAATATTTAAATTTTGTTTTATTATTTTTAGGTGTCAGTGATTGGATCCCCTAAAAGACTAAAGAGATACTTTTTTTCCTAGTTTAAGTAGTGGATAAGGTCTTTTAGTTTTAATATAACATTCTGTGGAAACCTTTCTATTAAATTGCCATAGTGAGTACTAAAAAAAATGTTTTTTGAATGTTGAAAATTGCAAAAGTTTATTTTTTAGATTTGAGCATATAATGGCTAGTAAGCATGTGTTGAAAATATCTAGTATTACTGAATTTTTCAGTAATGATAACAAAATTATAAGAAAAGGTGAAAATGCCCTTGAATCGAATCATGTAAAGAAAATGTTGTTTGACCCTGATTTATTAATCATTAAGGGAGAAGTATTTGCGAGCATGAAAGACAAAACTTATAATGTTGAGGTAAGTTAAGTTTAGTTTTTAAGTTTAGATGTGGGAATCTAAGTGCTTAATTTTACCATTGCAGATTATGTTGAATAAATCATGGAAAATTACTGCTGCAAATTGTTCCTGTCCTAGGGGTATTAAATGCCATCATATAGCCACTCTAGCTCTCTTTGGACATTACAATATATCAATTACTGATAAATCATGTACGTGGAACATTCCTGTCCAAAGTAAGACAGAAACTAAAACTGCAGAAACACTATATCCTCCCAGGCCATATAAAGCCATTAATAGAAAAATGTCATGCAATGAATCAGAACAGTTAAAGACCAAATTAAGTAGTTTTGGTAATACTGTGGGATTCACTTGGTTTTTACAGGAAGAAAGGCAAGAAGCCGAAAGTATTGATATTCCATTAATTGAAGATATCATTTATTCAGAGGAAATGAAAAATTCAATCGATAAAAATGCTCATTTTCTAAAATGTTGTCAAATAAATGATGCAACTATAAAGAAAATAGCACATGAAACAAGAGGTCAGGTGCTCAATGAAAAATGGTTTCTTGCCAGAAAATATAGAATTACTTCTAGCAACTTTGGCACCATTATTTCTTGTTGCAAGAGAAACAAGTATCCAGAAAGTTTATTTAAAACACTTGTTGGTATGTACTGTTACATTTATATTATTTTATTATTTGCAATCAAATACAACGCTTACATTCTTAAGGTTTTCCATCAGATTCTATTTCAATTAATTGTTTGCATATGTCTCAAAATGGTAGTGGAGGTTAACTGAACTGTTGATATGTTTTAAGAATGTACACTATTATTTATAATAAACACATTTTGTTTCCTTTCATATCTAGCTAAAGTAAAATATTTTTTTATCGTTTTTAGGGGCTTATAATTTGGATGGCATCAAATCAATTCAGTGGGGAAGAACACACGAAAATAGTGGTATAGAGTACCTCAGAAATACACTGAATTTGGATGTACAGCCTACAGGTATTTGGCTGACAATGTCAGGCTTATTAGGAGCTAGTCCAGATGGTTTAATTGGTGATGATGGAATTGTAGAAGTTAAGTGTCCATATACATTTCGGAATGAAAAATTATCTGAAAAGTTGAAAAATTCAGATAAATATATAATATCATATAATAATCAGAATGAAGTCCTAATTAATACTGGACATGCCTACTACCACCAAATTCAAGGCTGTCTGCATATTTTAGGACGACAAAATTGTTATTTATGTATATGGACATTGAAGGAGATAATTACAGTTATAATAGAAAAAGATTTGACTTGGGCCACAAACATTGATCTGTTAGAAAATTTTTATTTGGCGCAGTATTTGCCAAAATTGTTATCTTCATAGGCTATGATTCATAGCTATATTAATTTTATTCACTGCCACCCTAAATAGCATGCTTGTATTAACACCATACCAATCTCGCAAGTTCTTCAACCATGAGGTTCTTCTTTGTCCTGGACTGCGTTTGCCTGCTATTTTTCCTTGCATGATATTTTGTAGCAACTTATATTTGGGATGTCTCATTACATGTCCGAAATATTCCAGCTTTCTCTGCTGATACTTTTTATAGTAGTCTTGCTACGACATTCTAATATTGTGGAGTTTCGAATCTTCTCCACCCATCCAATATATAAATATATATATATATATATATATATATATATATATATTAATATATATATATATATATATATATATATATATATATAGTTCAACTTTTATCTAAAAAATGTACCAGCAATCCTATGTTTTCTGTACTACATGAGGTCTATCAAGCACAAAAAAATAATCTTTATACTGCCACTATTTGTTGTGACTATGCCAAAGCTTCTTACTTGAGGAATAGGAAACAACTAGTTAGAGCAAATGATACTGACTCTAGTCACAAAAGCATTGTATGTGGAGTACCACAAGGTTCAGTACTGGGTTGTATACTTTTCATTATCTTTATAAATGACATCACTAACTTAAAAACGATGGAAACCGTTTTTCTTTTTGCTGATGATACCAGTATTACCTGGAGGAACTCTAATATTGCAACTCTTCATGCAATTATAACTTCTGATTTACTTAAAATAAAAACCTGGCAGACTAATTTACTTTCTGTTAACATGGCAAGACAATAGCCTTATCCTATAAAAGAGCTCTTCAATCCTTGCTTCTTAATAACAGCCAGAGCAGTATCGTTAATTCTGTAATATTTCTTGGTATTTTGATATACAGCAACCTTAAATTCATACTGATTTATTAAGTAATAAATTAACCGCAGCCTCATGCAATAAGATCTGTTTTGGTTCTTCTATATGGCCTTTCTTTTTAGGGTTCTAGTACAGCTGCCCAATCTAATGTTTTTAAATTGTAAAAAAGAGTAATAACATATTAATGCAGAAGCTACTTCAAAAATCACGAGATTTAAACTCTTCCCTGTTTATATATTCTGGAAACTGTTTGCTTAATTCGTAAACATCTACATGTTTTTCCAGCAAGACCTAATCATGACTACTCCACCAGAAATTCAACCTTTGATGTATATTTACGTATCCCATCCACTGAGCTAGTTAAGAAATCTATATTATATTCAGCAAAAATATACAACCTTCTTCCTTTGCAACTTAAACTACAATTTCTCTCCTTAAGTTCCGTAAATTGACAAAAGCCTATCTATCTGAAAGACCATATTATTCAGTGGAAGAGTTTCTTAATGAATAACTAAGAAATTACAGTATGTTCAGGTATAAACAAATAAAGTATTTTTATATATCTATTTTGGTATGTGTTGCAGAAACTTAAACTTATTCATAAACTAGTTCATAAGTTTTTATTATGCAATTTAGTAATGGATTGTATATATTTATAATCTTATATTTTGTGATATTGACGATTTATGTAATTTTAGTAAATTTTAATTGTTATTATTTTTTTGACTTTTTGTAAGCTTAGTCCATAAAGTTGTACAATTTTCAGTGACAATAAAGCATATTTCTATTATATAATAACACTCTATTGATACTGATTAGAGTACAGGATGTTTAACGAATTTGTCCTCCTAGGCCATTTAATTCAACGAAGAGACAGCAGCTTTTGATAATAGAGATTTACAGCAGAAATAATCCTACTTCCGTTGAATATTCATCATTCACCTATCTCTTTTGAATTTCAGTGTGAATCATGTACTGTATGTTTTTATAGAGATTTCCATGTGATGAACATCCTAGAAGTTATGTTTTCTTTCTCAATTTAATTGCGATTATTTAAAATAAGTCTCTTGATGTATATTTTTTACCATCTATATACTTAACAATCAATCTTTATGTTCCTGTTAAAAAGTATCTGACTAAGAAATTTCTAATTTGGTTCTCTCCAGATTTCAAAGTTAAAATTATTCAGAAACAGAAAGTTCACAAAGAATATCTTAGAACTCAATACTCCACTCTCTTTAATGAGTTTTCTATGTATTTAAATGTAAATGCTTAAAATAACAATGTTATCGAGATTACATTGCATTAACTCAACTTCCCTTAAATTCACAACTCTTCAGGTCAGATGCATGCACAAGGGTCTAACTATGCTGTCCTTACTTATTACACTCCTATAGTTTCAGTCCACAATTGTTATCATCCATGTCCCTTTTAGGCAAACCAAGCTTTCCAAATTACCCACCATTGATCAAACTATTGTATGGTTGCATTTCTATTTATTATTACGATAAATTTTAATAGCAAAACTTGGTTATATTTTCTATAATAGCAAAACTTGGTTATATTATTAAATGTAAATTTTGATCAACAGAATTAACTGGCTGGTCCATTGTATTTAACATTTTTTTTTTATTTAACAATAAATGTATAGTTGTGTAGACATTACTGCTGTAACATTATTTCTTTTGTTGCTTACATAATTTTTATTCATAAATTGTGAGAAAATAAATTTATTTTTATATATAAATTTTATAACATTAATAAACTTTTCAAAAAGTAAATAGTGTTTTCATTAAGTATATACAAGGGTGAAAAAAAACACAATGAATTTAAAAAATATATTTAATATACCAAAAATTTAAATAATTAATTATTGTAAACAATGTAATTGTGTTCTCTACACAAGAAGCAACTGCAGTAGTATAGCAGTAGGTAGATTTTAAAATTATATCCGTGGTTTGAAAACAATTTGGAATAAGTGACAATCATATTTCATGTTAAAAGAGATCAAATGGTAAAATTTAATAAAAAATATTAGGAATTGGTCATCCTATAATTTTTATATTACAACAAAGCTAGCATGTCATTAACAGTTAATTTGTAAAGATATATTTATACCTTCAAAAGTTAAAGCTATAAGCAACATTAAAGATTCAAAACCAAGTTAAAAAAACATTTTGTTGTTAAATGTAATGCAATTTTTAAAAGACATAGTTTAATAATTTTTATTTGTTAGATAATTGTATAAACATTATTATTGTATTTTTTATACTCCTCTATAAACATAATGTTACTTGGAGTTAATACATCAACAAATAAATATTTCTTTAAAAGTTTACACTTCAAAAGGCCCAAGTACAAAATTTGATTTATGTCACAGATCCAAATTTATCTTTCACCATCTACATTCACTTTTTATTTTCACAAGAATAAATGTTACACCCTCTTACTAACACCAATAAAGTACTTTATGAGTAATACTCCTCAACTTCTTTAATAAGAGGGTATTGAAAATTTGTTAAAGCAGCACATAACTGAAATATCACGGTTATTTGAGACATATAAAATTTTGGAATTTGCTGCAATATATTGTAACACTTTATTCTTCGTATCGCCCTCTCAACATGTATCCTAGCTTTTGCTATGGTTTCTGTTTCATACACCTGTTCCTTTGTAAACTGAGGGGTACTTAGAAAAGGAGGAATATTTAAGTGTACCCCCTCAGGCAATAAATCTTTAATCAAGAAACCTTTATCCGCTAGAATAACATCACCATAGGTCATTTGGTCTAGAATGCCACAGTGTTTAACAATTTGTTTATCAGAAGTGGATCCAGGATAGGCACTGCTGACATATGTGATGACACCATTTGGTGCTACTCCTACAAGAACCTTCCATGTGTTATGATGCTTATAAGAACTGTATGTTAATTTTTGTTTTTCCATACTAGTGGGAGTAACTGAGTACACTTCTGTACAATCTAAGATGATTCTACAATTTCTAAATGATGAAAATGCAGTTGGAAGGCATGCTTGATTTTTTTTTCTTGAGGGTATCTTTTCCATCAGTTGTTTAAATAAAATTTCATGCAAGGCATATATCCATGTCATCACAATATTGGTGACAGTGGCTGTACTGCAATTAAACCTAATTGCCAAATCTTCATGTGGTAAATTTAACCTTAATTTCATCAGTGTCATTAGCAATTGGTCAATTTTGGGTAAAATTTTTACTTGCCAGTTTGCGTAATAATTTAACTCAAAACCTTCCATAGTTTCAAATAATGTTAAGTACAGAGCACTGGTTGGTATTCCTGTGTACATTAAAATATGAGCATCATTATTTTTAATTTGTTCAAAACTAAACCGAGATGAAAGATTTTTTAATTTTTCAGTTAATTGATTTACTTCTTGTTTAAGAAAGTAATTTTCCGATCCTATTAATGCATTACTTCCTTCTGGTAGAGATACAGCCACTTTTTGTGTGTGCATTGACGTAGATGGACCTGGTTCAGGACTATTTGTTGATGGACCTGGTTCAGGACTATTTGTTGATGGACTGGTTCAGGACTATTTGTTGATGGACCTGGTTCAGGACTATTTGTTGATGGTCCAGCTGCTTCATCTACAACATCAACTGAAGATGAAGTTGCCCCTTCATCTAAGGATGAATTTATTTGCTGAGCCTCTCTTTTGCTAAAAAAAGTATTCCTATTATATTAAGATATTCATTTAAATCCGATTTTAACTTTACCGTTTTTCTGGAGTGGAGAACACAAACTTTCTCCTTATGTTATGCTCAAAAATTGTAGGTCCATTTTTCTTATCTTGATCCACAAAATGACAACTACAAACTAACGAGTACTTAGATGGTTCTCTATCTTGCCTCCTGAAAACAGACCAAAATAAAGTTATTAATTTTTAGCCTAACAAACAAATAGCACAATTACATTTTAAATCATTTTTAAAAATCATAACATATGCATAGTATAAATCTGAAAAGACAATCACAGAATATCTAAAATATAAGCAATATTAAAACAAACTAATAAGTACTTTTACCTTATGAGATTGATCCACTTCTGCTTCTCTGAAATTTTTGAAGGGAATATAAAAAATTTGCACCTTTTTTGTTCACTGTAATGTTTACAGTTAGGTACAAAGCACATAACCATTTTACTAATAACTTGGGATAAAATTCACCTAAAAAAAATTAAAATTTTTTTAACTTTGTAAATAAATTCAAAGATTTATTGATTAATTTTGAAATAGTCGGTAAAAACAACAACAAAATACCTTGAAATAAAGAAAAAATAATTAAAGTTTTAATCCCCACAAAAAATAACCTCAAAATATGAACTTCGACAGTAAATATCTTAATACTTTGATACACTTACCTCACAAATTCAAGAACAGCCTAATAAAACCAATCGCACAGAATAGATATATAGGAGCGAAATTCCTTATTTAAATTTTTAAATATAAAAAAAATCAAAGTTTCCAAAGTCTTATGCGAGAAAACACATGCATAAACACAAACACGATATTTGTTTTGTTTGGAAAAATCTTCTAAGCCCCGCCATTGTGACGTCAGGACTTAGGTAGTCCATTGCCAAATCTATCCGCTTACCTACCAAAGGGCAATTGCCAAAAAAAATTTCTGATAATTTGTTACAACTAATATCCAACGAAACAAATATTACTTCATATTAATATTTCATATAAGGTATAAAAATTGCAGAATGCATAAAATAATATGATAAAAATGTACCTTTTAAAAGCTTTATCTCTTTGTATTTGAAGCATATAACATATACATTATAATAACTTGGCAACACTGCCAACGCAATATTTCATCTCTGTGAAACTTGATTGACAGCTAATTTGAGGCTAACTTCAATGGACCAAATGTGAAAATCGTCTCGGGTTTATTGTACTTTTTTTCTTATTGTATTATTAATGTTCGTTTCTTTCATTTATTGTATTTTTTGTCTTAAACACTTTACATGTAATTACTATTAGTCTATAGTGTTTGTAAGGTGTGTAAATAAATAAATAAAATTGTTCAGAATTTTGTTCCTGAAAATCATGCAAAACTAATAAATGGACATTTTTGTTTAAGTTTTAAAGAATTTTACCTAAATTTTCATATTCTTTGGAATTATGGAATATAATTATTTATCGATTTTTTGTGATATACACGTACCTCGTTTAATTAAAGTATTGTTTAGTAACTGAACTGAAGAGAAGAGTTGACTTACGTTCCATCCAAACCTCGAACGGCATCTTCGGCGTCTCTAGTATCTTCGAACTCTACAAATGCAAATCCCGGGGGACTTCGAGCTACCCAAACGTTTCTCAACGGTCCATATTTGCCAAATGCGGCTTCGATTTCGTGTTTGCTAGCCGATGAACCAAGATTGCCTACATAAACTTTACAAGAAAGTTCCCACTCTCTATGTCTCGACATGTTTGACCTAAAACGAAAGAAGTCGAGATGTAATGTTTGCATACCTATATTAGTCAAAATATGATGTTAATAAGACGTAAAAATAGCAAAAACTCACCTGTTTCGAGATATTTTGGTAAAATTAAAGCTATAAAGCTTAACACCGAATAAAATACAAAGCTAAACACGCGACAAAAATTGTAAAATGACAAAATGGTCGATGTCGATATGACGCATCATGTCAAAATTGTCAAACATTTTAATCCCCTCCAATCCCCTCCTTGAAAACTTGATAAAAACAAAAAAAAATTCTTAAAGGATAAACAAGCAAAAAATAGTTTTTAACAATGTTTTTACGCTAAACACATAAAAAATAAAAATCATTATTTTTTTTTAATTATACCTGTTTAAAAAATATATGCACTGATTTGAAATGCATTAAGACACATCTAATAAAATTCAGTTGTATTAGTAGAAGAATAATAAAAATATTATATTCTGAAATCTAATTTCATAATTCTACAGATTTTAAACCTTAATAAAAAATATATAATGTTAAAGACCTTTAAATTATGTCTACTACTAATTATGCAACCAACAAGTCAAGTTGTTAAAATATGAATATTTTTCAGAACTATAATTGAAAAACATGTTTTTAGTTCTAGAATATGCATGGCGTAGGATAAAACTAATAAATTAATTGCATTTTTAAGATTATCGTGCATCATATTCCACGTTTATTGAACTTATATGTTCTTTAGCAACTTAAGAGTAACTTTTCTAGGGATATTTGTTGAACTACTTTACTAGAGGTGAAAAAACAGAACAAAAAGAATAGGAAAAGCATACAAGGAGAATAAATGAAAACACATAAATTTGAATTACAGCAGCAGTTTGGATTTGAAAAATCTAAGAAATTACTGAGAAAATTACGTTATCGATTAGAATTCATAAAAAACTTAGGAGAAATTTGCTAATAGTTAAACAAATATTTAATTCACCATTACAAAATCCTCTCAGAAGTGTTTTTACTTGTTTAAATCTGTTTTTAAACATCGATGGTTAATTAACAGATTCTTGCCATGCAAAGAGACCTTGGTTCAAATTTCATCTTGGCACAAATGTTAAAATTTAAAAGTAATATCCATCTAAAATTATATTTTATCTATAATGTTTTATTTATCATTATCATTTGAAAAGTATCTAAAATTTACTTTTGACATTACCACCGAGCACCCATTGACGTATAATATTTATCATTGGAGCAAACCGTTGTTCGGTGACATACGCTTACGTTTACATTTGGTCTGAAGCTAGAAACATAACCTGCTCATGGGCGGAGGTGTCTGAAAAAGTATTTTATTTAATCCAATTTTTTGGTAAATAATATGCTGTATAACGACAGTAAATTAGGTTACTCATAATCTGATTATTTATTAAGCTAATATGTTCTTTGACTCCGTTTTTTATTAAGAATTTACTCGTAAAATAATATTTTTTTGTTTATAAAGAATTCCTAGCGATTATGACCAGTAGGTATGTAGAATGGAATGGCGCATTCACCAAAATTTAGACTGTCAAAATAACAAAATTTTAAAAATTCAGTTCACAACAATTTTTGCGTTTTGAAAATATTTATTATTTTTTTTTCCAAACTGTATTAATCCGCATTTGAAATTTTATACTTATTAGTTTATGGAAGTACATCGATATGCAAATAATTAGCACGTACATTTATTTAAATATACAAATGAAAAAGAAGAAACTTTCCGATCACAGAAAATTGAAGAACGGCAGTTCATGAAAAAATCTGTATTTATTGACTATTTATTAGTGTAGAAGAGTATAAAATGATATTAAACATAATTTTTACTACTAGTTATGCAATCAACAATATAATCCTGAACCATATATCACTTTTGCTTACCTTATAAGCTTTTTGCGGGTAGGAACTCCTTTGGATAGTCTTATCAGGGAAAATTAATCAATCCCTGTCCTCTGCAGATTCCAGGTATATCTTGACCCGGGAAACTAGTACTTGCTTAGTCCAGGATCAAGGATGAGGTCCACAACGGCAGCCGACTCAATCCCTTTATTTTAGGGATTGTATAAAATCACTCACCAACCCGTCTAGCCAGCGTCTTGTTTTAGGCTAAAAAACCTCCTAACAGGAATATGGCGATATCTAAAACAAAAGGTACGTAGATCGTACAGTAATGGCAAATCCCACTCCTTTAGAAAAAAGGACAGTTTCATGGAATCTGGGGGAAGCAAGAAATCGCTAAAAACCATACGATTGAATATCGCAACTCTAAATATAAGTTCATTAAGCAAAGATGAAAAAGACTACGAAATCGAAGAAGACATCAAGGACTTAAAATGGGACATAATTGGTCTAGCAGAGATAAAAAGAAAAGGGGAAGAGTGCATAACAATAGAGTCCGGTAACGTCCTATATTACAAATGGCGAGAAGAACAAAGCCTAAATGGCGTAGGATTTCTAATTTCCAAGAAATATGCACATAACGTAGAGCAATTAGTAGGAATATCTGCTGTGAGCTGTAAGTTGAGCTGAGAATTGCTCAGAATAGATCTAAGTTTCAAAAATGCTCCTCTTGCAATTTCTATACGAGTTTTAATTTCTTCATCCGGATTTAGTGTCTCGTTTATTCAACATCCTAGATATTTTAAGATGGTTAACTTTTGTTATCGGTAGACCTGCAAAGACGCCTGTCTCTAATCCTTAAAATGCGTCTAAAATATTTAGAGGATGCTTATTCCAGCGAGCGGAGGCAAGGCTTACTGGTCCCACTAGTCTGAACGGACTGGTTTCGCCCTCGCGGGTTTTCAGGAGGGTAGGGAAATTTTTGGGAAAAGGGGATGAAGGACTTCCAGGTTTCAGGCCCTGTAAAGATTTGAGTCTATGGGCTTGCTTTAGAAGCCGGAGAAATGTATAAGCGGAAATGTGTTGATTTCTAGTCTCTACCTGTATCGGCCGGGAAAGAACAATTAAACCAAATTTCGAGTTTACAATGTATTCAATAGACTGTATACTAAGACTAAGATAACAAGATATCAATTATAACTAATTATGATTCGTTCAGACGCGAAGGGAGACGAAAAGAGACCTTAGCAAGAAAATTAAAGGGTGGACAATCTACGTTTATTATATATGCCTCTGGGTTAGTATATAGATTTAGTTACCTTCGCGTATTTAGGCCCTAGCTAATGAATACGCCTTTCAGTCCTACTGGAATTCAGAACCAGTCTGTTGAAGTACCGCACGCTATCACGAATTTTTCGAGAGACCACATACCCGGCACCTATATGGTACTACTATCCCGTCGAAATACAATAGCGCGCTCACTGGCGCCGCGGAAGTATTGCCGCGATCACCCGCACTTCTGGCATTAAGCACTCACGGGTGCCGAGCTACTACTGACTCGCTGGCCAATTTCCTTTGTTTTTTATGAACCCGTATCCTCAATTACACATCGCAGTACCGAGGTCGAGTTTATGCTGATCGAGCCCTCTTTCCAGGTGCTAAAAATCGGGTCATGCGGTGGTGTTATTTTCCAACGAAGGTCTATGTTTTAAACGTAATTTTTAAACATTCAGCGGCCTGATATCGAGACTCGTTTAATACACTTTAACTAGGTCGAATTTTCATTCTTTGTTTAATTTGAAATGTATATGTTAACTATGTCGAAATTATTTGTTCATTATTCAATTTGGAATATATAATAATTATGTAAATAATTATTACTCTTTTCTAGGCTAACTACCCCTTATTTTTTTATCTTTTATTTCCTTGCTATGTTTACATTACAGTATCTCACTCAAAGACTATAAAACCAATGAACACATTCGTAATAGAACAAAAATAAAAGATACTGTCGAACAGGCACCTAAACTGAAATGTAAATGGGCTGGAAATAAATAATGTCTTAAGGATGGCCGATGGAATAAAGAAATCGGGAATTGGCGGCCATATGAAGCCAAAAGACCATGAGGAAGACCACAAATGCGCTGGAGCGATGATATTAAAAGAACTGCAGGACCAATGTGAAAAAGTCTTACAGCCAACAGAAATGAATGGCGAAAATTAGGAAAGGCCTATATTCGGCAATCTGAATAGAGAGAAGGGTTTAAAAAAATAAGCTTTTTCACAACGTTAATAGTGCTCCGTCTAGGAATATTTGTTCTTTTAACGAATTAAACGAACTTTTATGTAATTTTATTATATTTAACAAAAAGTATCACAGCGTTTTATATACAGATAAAAATTTCTACTTCTAACCATAGAAAAATTAAGTCATTCTCCAATTGCGGTGCCAGAATTTGGTATTTGGTATAGTATTTTCTTATTGAAATTTTCTTTGATTATTTAGGCACTTGTAGGGAGTTGTAGAGTACACACTCATCATATTAAGGTAGCAAAAAGTTAGATGTTACCTTTTATCTTGAAACCTACTACCATACCAACACTTAAAGCGACCACCAGCTTTATCTATAGCTTCATAAATGTTCAGAGCTTCACCGTTCGGAATGCCGTACCCTTTACTCAAACCGTGTGGGTTTGACGGCGTTACGCAATCTTGTTTGGACTCCTTTCGCAACACTTTGTCCACCTCAACGGAGGAAAAAAACGCAACCGATTGAGGTAAGTCGTGCACTCCGAGTTGGTAGGCACAAAAAGCTCTGGTTAGAAGATTAGTAGTATGCAGAGCTAGTGCAGCTTGGTATCTATTTTCTTCCGGAACCAAATAGCGCACTTCATCGTGAAAACTTAAACAAAATCTTATATTGTCTCCCATTATCCACCTCATGCATACCAACATGAGGTGCAAAAAATCGGCCGCTCCGCTTTGGACGACCCAGTTCACACGTGTCGGTAGATATTGATCTTCCGATTTGGTTTTCGGTTCCAACGCTCTGCTCAATCGACCGTGCAAAAATGGAGTCTCTGGTCGATCGCTATTAGCGATTTCTTCAAGTCTGTTGAACATGGCTGATTCCGTACCTCCTGTCCATTTGGATTTAAGAAACATAGCATCTACGGTCTTTCCACAAGCTTTAGCGATTTCGAACGCTTGCCACTTCGTGTACGGCTTATCCACAAATTCCAAAACGTGTTCTTTCCTCAAATAATAAATCTTCTTCCCTTTGGTCAACGCAAACATCTTCTGCGCCTTACTCCTAGCTTCAGCTTCGGACATTGTAGGGTTAAATTGCTTCAGCAACCGTTCCGCGAAGCTCTGTCCCGCACCGTATATTCTAGCGTAGTTTATAACTTTAGCGTGATCCCTGCTGATGCCCACAGCTTTGGCGGTCACGCTGTGCATGTCGGTACCGGACGATTTGCTACCGCTCAGAGTCATCCAACCGAACGGCGTCGCTCCGTGTGTCTTGGCATAACTAGCATCCCCTATAATAGACGCTATCCACAGTTCTTGCGAATCCACATCGGCTCCCACGATGTTATAACCGGGAGGAGCTTGGACCATAGCTCGCAGTTCAGATCCGATTCGGTCAGATTGAGCGTTCGAAGCTGTCATCCATGTCGGTTCTACCGCTCTTCGAGTCAAAGTTCCGCTTACCACCACTTGGGGCAGGATAGTTCCGAAAGTGTAACCTAAAAAATAAAAATTTTACTTTTACTTAACCTATCATAACCTAAAAATATAGTTGTATCGTTAGAATTGATGCAAATACATAGGTAGAAATAAAAATTTTAAACGTTAAGAAGAGTAACTGCTTTTTAGATACACGTTGGTAAACTTCTACCGGTTTTTCTTTAAAATCGACGTTGTTTGATGCCACATACCTTTTCACTTGACTACACACAATGTCTCAATCAGATTCAGCTCGCAATAGTAAGGCTGCAGTCTCAAAATCTTACCGCGATATTTTTCCGCAATTGTTTCAATTTTGTACCTATCGTACTGGTCTCTAAATGCAGCCGCAGTATCCAATAATTCACTTTTTAGATAGTCTTCCTCGAAGAAAGTGTTCTTTTCGAAAAGCCAATTATTGATTTGCATTTTGTTCCACAATTTTTTCTGGAAATCAAATTTGGAGGACACAAGAGAAGGAACAATAATTCTACTAAGATACTGTGAAGATAGAAATAAAATGTTATTCGCTCCAGACGAACCAACAAGATAAAATCCAAACCGAAGACAAAACAATTCTACGTTTGACATTTTTATAACAAAAGACATCATTATGGAAGATGTAAGGGACAACTTACATCTTCAAAATCACAAACCGGTGATAGGAAGAATGACTTCAAGAGTAGACCTACCAACAATCGAAACAGTGGAAAGTTGAAGATGGAAAAAAGCAAACTGGCCAAACTGCGGAAGACAACTCAACCAAATCGAAATGAAGAGAGAATTTCAATCTACAGAAGAAGCCGGAAAAAAAATCGAAGAAATCACAAGAAAAATTAAAAACAAGCTATGGAGTACAACATACCAAGAGGACTAACTAATAACAAAGGATTAATCATCCTTACGGAACTACAGCACATCATAAAGGACATAAATAAGACCAGAAGAGCTTTCCAGAGGACAAGAAGGCAATGATTCAAGGACTACCAAGACATAGTATCGGAAGAAATAAGGGTAAGACTCAGAATTCTTACTGAAAACAAATGACACAACAACCTCAGAAAAGCAGAAGAAAATCACGGAAACATATGGAAAATGCTGAAAGCCAAACGAAGAGGAAAACAAAAGATGCCCCAAATCATAGAAGACGAAGGAATACACTTCGAAACACAAGGAAAAGTGGATGCAATAGCAAGAGGATGACAGCTACACACAGACAAAACCCGGATATGTCAGATGCAAGAACAAGAGAAGCAGTCAACACAAAATATGCTAGGATCAAAAGAAGAAATGAGTTCTTAGTAGAGGAAGAAGACTACACAAACCCAACAGAAGTCGCCAAAATCATCAGGAAATTAAAAGAAAACAGAACACCAGGACCAGAAGTAATACACAACATCGGCCTCAAGGAACTACCTCAGAAGATAATAGTAGAATGGTACTATATCTTCAAGTACTGCTTGGAAAAAGGACATTTCACAAGTAATGTGTAGATCATCCCTCTACTAAAATCAAGGAAAGATGGAAGATGACCGGAAAGCTACAGACCAATATCTCTCCTAGAAACAATTGGAATAATCCTGGAAAAAATTATCTATAGAAGACTAATGAAACATGCAGAAAGAAGAAGAATCATTCAAGGGGATCAACTTGGATTTATAAGAGGAAAAAACTGCGAACTTCAGTTGGCAAGAATCATTAGCGATACGAAGATATGGTTTAATAAAAGACAAAGAACAGGAATGGCCATACTGGACATAGAAAAAGCATACGACACGGTTTGGAAAAAGGCACTAATCTTCAAGATGTACAGAGCTAGACTAACACATTGCATAGTTATTATTTGTGAAATGTATTTAACTGATAAAACTTTTCAAGTTTCAATAGATCCAAGAACATCGACAGCCCTCTACGCAGATGATAGGGCAGTGTATGCAACAGGAAAGAACGACAGAAGAATAGTCAGAAATATAGAAAATCACCTCGAAAAATCGCGGAATACACCGAAAAATGGCAGATCAAAATCAATTCAGGGAAGACACAATTCATCATGTTCACTCAGAAAAACAATCCAACAGTGCAAGAAATCACAGTAGGAGGAAACAGGGTCCAATCAGGAGATTCAGTCAAGTACCTAGGAGTCCACCTCGACAGAAGACTAAACTTCCAGTTGCATACACAGAAAACCAAGGTAAAAGCTAATGCTGCTAAAAAACTAATACTTCCTTATATTTTTAGGTCCAGTCCACTATCGAAGGCCAAGCAGATCCAACTATCCCAGGCCTACGTTAGACCGGTGATACTATGTGCTGTCCCAGTCTGGAGTTCCATAGCGGAGTACAACTGAAGGAGACTCGAAGCCACAGAAACATCATGTTACAGGATCATCGACGGATCAACATGGGAAGAAAGAATATCTAATGCAACTATCAATAAGGCAATAAAAGAAGAGGGAGGTGGCTGAGAAAGGACCAGAAACTTCTTCCACCAAGTCACAAGAAGACTCCTAAAGACCAGGGACATCCTCGCGAAAAGGATCCAGAGGATGTACAGACAAATCCACAGACTGATCGACCGTCTGATCAGGGTCTAGCCGGGTGGTTGCTGAAGACAACCAGGCTGGAAAGTAAGTACGATACCACAAATAAGTAGGGGAGGGTAGTACACAATGAGACAAAAAACACATTTTTATGTCTGACATTGACATTTTTGAATTTTTCTACAAACCAGGCATCAATATGATTATTTCCTCAATATAATCTGAAATAAATTATTTCCTCATGAGTGAAGTAACAAAATCTATGATTATTTTGCTAACCGTATCATTGTGTACGATTGGTGGTACACACATGAGTTAAGTGGTGGTACGCAATGAGTCAAGTGGTATTATTTCAATAATTTGTTAAAATAAATACATAGAGTATAGTTTTTAATATTAAAAATAGCAATTTTACATTTACAATAAAAAAACTGAAACGAAAGAAAATTTTAACGGATCTTAATACTGTCAAACTTTTACATCAAATTTGAAATAAGATGCAAGGCGCTTGTTTTTTGATCTACATTTTTTGGTTTTGGTAGAATTGACACAATGTCAGACCTTGCTACTGCAGCAATGTCTTCAACTAAAGGAAAAATAAAGCAGCCTTGAAGCCTACCACTTTTTGTTAAAAATGACACTTTAAATTCATTATGTCTAGTGTCTTGAGAAATTTAGCAAACATAAATATATTGTTTTCAAATTTCACTAATACAAAATTATCAATGGAAATTTCTGTACTAGCATCAATGTCATAATCGTCTTCCAACTGTAAATTTTCACATTCATCGCCAGATAGAATCATTCGTAATTTATTAGTTCTTCAGTTTATTTTTTTTCTGCTTTGGTACCTTATTTAAATTGACCCTAATTCGTTTATTATTCCGAGGAATCATTTTTTTGGTTGTTGCTTGTAGTTTTAATGATCCAAGTCAGGTGTGTTAGTTAAAATTGCACTCTTTTTAGTTTTCCCTGCTTTTCCACCTTTTCTCTTTTCTGCTTTTGAAATCCTTTAAACTCATGAGGAGAGATGAAAGAACTTGAATTCGCAGATGATACTATTGGCTTAGAGTTTTGAGACATTATCGGTGTTTCAGGTGTCCTTGGTGGGGATACTTCTGATTTTCAGGTGTCTTCGATGAGGTAATATAACTTGATTGGAAAGCACACTAAACATTTCTGTCGACTCTGGTTGTGGATTTGGCTGTTCAGTTTATTTGGTCTATCAGTCACAGAACTGCCAATGAAGTCAGCTTCAGAAAAAATGTCTCTATTAAGGGGAAAAATTCCCGTTTTATTAAAACCTGACAGAATATTAGTATGTGTTAATGCTTTCATATGTGCCTCTCCTACACATTGTGCTATCTGGTATATTTGAAATAGGTTTACCAGGAGGTTCAGCAACCATGAATCTATAGCAGCATTGTTATACGCTTTAAAGGGAGAGAAAATTGTAACATCAAGGGGTTGCAGTTTGTTACTACAATGTGGAGGCAGAGTCAGTATGATTACACCATTATCCTTTGCCAGTTGAACAACTTGATACGTTAAGTGACTCTCATGATTGTCGTAGAGCAATATGGAAGGGTTTTCAATTGAACTGTTGCTAAACTTAATGAAATGTTTCATAACGTCAACAAACAGCTCGTTAATCATCCATCCACTTGGATTTGACAAACCCAGTGTGCCAGGTGGAGCTCCTTATAATATTTAAGTGTGAAATGTATATATTATTAGGGCAATAAATGTTTTTATTTTTATTTTTATATATACCTGCACTGCTTTCTAACTGTGGCTACTACTCATCGAGTAAAACGACAAAAGAGGGAATCTAATCCTTATGAAAAGGAGACCAAAAAAGTGGCCTCTGATGGCGGACATATCCGGAAATGCGAATGCGCCAAATTTAAATTTTCCCACACTTATTAGTAGTAGCTATATAATATTTTTCAGAATGTGTCTTAGACGAGAAAGTTTTAATTAATTATTAATGATAAGAGTCTAAAATGCGACACAATTGTTAAAAAGCTTCAATATTAATAAGATTTCATGTGACATTTGGGACAAACAATAACATAACCCAACTAAATTTGATGTCAAACAAGGAGAGAGACTCTCTTTCCTTGTTTAATTTGGCCTCTAAAGATCGCACTTCCTGTCTAACAATATGTTTGCCCCCACTACCTTTACATTCCCTCTTTTGTCTTTTTGCTCGATGCTACTACTATAATCGAAAGTTCTAGCGGTAACAACAAGTAACTATTCAAGAGTAGACAGGAGGCGTCACGGAATCACTCATAAAAATCAAAAAGCAGGACCGGTTCAGAAAAAATATATAAATACTAAACGAATTTAGATTTGGTTACTTGAGATAATAAAATGGTATGTACACGGTTTTAAGTCGGACAAAACTTGTAAGAGATTGTAATATAAATTAATCTTATTATTGTAAGAATGTATATAAATTAAATAAATAAAGACTAAATAAAATAGTGTAAATAGAAGATAAAAAAAATCTTAACAAAAAAAAAATAGAAAATTGATACATTTAAAGATAACTCACCTTTAGCACGCAGATTATTCGGCAAATTTTCCTCCGCCAACCAAACCACCATCTGGTCCAGTATCCTGTTCCTGTTGTTTCGCCAATACGACAGCTTCTTCGCTATTTCGAGCACTTGTTCTGCACTTTCGGTGTCACCCACCAGGACGTTTTCGGAAAATTTGTTTAGGAAGTCTTTGGCGAGCGGATTTCCGACGTTATAAGAGGGGCCGTCTTTGTGTGGTAGCTTGAAGAACCAGCAGCAATCTTCCACTTCGGTGCTGCACCATATGCCGGTACCTTTGTATACGCCTTCGGTTTTGTCTTTCTTTAGTCTGCTGTAGTATTCCTTCTTCGATAGATTGTCCTGGACTTGTTGGCACAAGTTCGCCATTGCTAAAGCAGCGTTATCGCCGTCTTTGCTTATTAATAACGGACATTTCTCTAATAATTGCTTCAGAGGAAGTTTTCTGGAGATATCTGTGTTGTCTGTGAAGGGTATTAGGAAACCCCAGCCCTTGTCTCTCAAATAGTGTAACGGGTAGCCCTCCCAAGTCAGACACAACAGTTTTGGCGTGATCTGCATCGACGTACTTATCAAATTCGGCCCAGGAACCCAATGAGACGACGAATCAGGCTTTTTGCACAATTTTCCGATACCAACTCGGATACCCCAGCAAAACGCTTTTAATTGCCGGCAAATTATCCTTTGTGGTCCACAACTTTTGAAACTTGGCCTCCAGAGGATCTTCCTCTTCATCGTCAATGACTTTATGTCTTTTCACTTTTACCGGCTGTGATTGCTCCACGTCCTTTTTCCTTGGCGGTTTAGCAGCTTTCATCTTGATCTCTTTGATGCTCCAATCTTGATCCCACAACCATAAATCTTCCTTATACTTTTCGTTATGTAACAACTGACAGGCCTGGTTCGCTCTGTTAGCTAGCAAAATTTTGCCTTCGTTTTCGAGGTCCTCGTAGGCTTGTTCGGAGTCTTCGATATATCTTGACCAGTTCGAGTTTACTGGAAGATATGCGATACTCAGCTCCAGCATACCTAAAAATAAAATCCAAAACGGTTACAACCGTGAAAAAGTATCAATAGAGAAAAATCTCCCAAAGCGTAGTAAAAACGTTATAGAAGTGTTAAAAAAAGAGGTAAAACAGAGTACAAGCAACTAAAAAGTGTTGAATATAACGATGAGCTCCAAAGAAGTTCAAAACAATCGATGAAAAGACTTGAAATAGCTTACAAAAAATAGTAAAAAGCAACTAAAATCGTTCAAAAGGTAGAAGAAGCGTTACAAAAATAGTCAAAATTGATGAAAAACAGTAAAAAGGAATGAAATGGGCTAAAAGCATAGAAAAATCGCTGAAAATTGATGAAAAGCACGAAAAAGGTACGAAAACCGTTGTAAAACTATTTAAAAAGCTACAAAGTACAGTCAAAAAACGATGAATTACTGTAAATCTCAACCAAAATCCGTCAAAATCTTGGGAAAACCATTAAACATATAGAAAAAAGCTTTGAAAGGAATTCAAAGGGATTAAATAGTACCAAAAAGTTACGGAAAGCACAAAAAATGCGATATAAAACTTAAAAAACGTTGTACAAACGTTGAAAAGACTAAAAAAACTTTGAAATGCATCCAAAGTGACTAAATACTATCAAAAACAACGAAAAGCACAGTAAAATCCGACTTGAAGCTTTTGAAGCATTGAAAAAGCAACAAGAGAGCCATGAAAAGCATCCAAAGTGATTAAATGTTACAAAAATGACCAAAAGCACGGTAGAATACGACATAAAACTTATAAAGCATTGTACAAACGTTGAAAAAGCAACAAAAAAGCTTTGAAAAGTATCTAAAGCACCAAAAAACACATGTCAAAAGTGATGAAAAAGGTTTAAAAAATCTGCCAAAAAGCACAAAGTGATGAATTGTAAAAGCGTTGAAAAAGCAATAAAAGCTTTGAAAAGCATCAAAAGAGAGTAAATAGTACCAAAAACGACGAAAATCTCGATACATTGCGACATAAACTTGAAAGCGTTGAAAAATCTTTACAGATGAATTGAAAAACATTAAAAGTAACCAGATATTACCAAAACGACAAAAAACACGGTAAATTGCGACATAAATCTTAGAAAGCGTTGTAAATGCGTTGAAAATGCAATAAAAAGCTTTAAAAGCATAAAAATGGAGTAAATAGTATCAAAAACGATGAAAAGCTCGATAAATCGAGACACAAAATTTGGTCTGACACAATAAAAATTGGTAAATACGCTATGAAATGGTAAAAAGTGACGAAAATGATAAAAGCAAAAGAAAAGCACCGAAAAAGCTACAAAATGACTAAAACATGCCAAAAGTAATGAAAAGCATCGAATTATATACGTCCATGATCGAAACTATAGAAAAGTGACACAATTTCAACGAGAAATCTCGTAAAAGACGATCAAATTCTTTCAAAATTAAAGAAAAGAGTCAAAATTGCCAAAAAATATCAATAAAAGCGTACAAAGTAAAGAAAAACAGTTAAAATCAACCAAAGGCGTTATAAAAGTCTCACAAAAAAGCAACTAAAAATTTGACAATCGAAGAAGAAGCGTTGAAAAGGAGTCCATATTAACGAAAAAATATTCAAAAGGGGCAAAATAAGCCAAAAACACGAAGTAAAGGCGTTGAAACTCGACAACATTTGGCAAAAAACGCCAAAAAATCTATGAAAATGATGAAAAAATGCCAAAGATGTCGAAATGCATTAGATGTCTAGAAATAGCAGTGTAACAGCTCTGAAAAAGGGCCGAAAGCGACAAAGTAGGGAAAAAAAGCGACAAAGTAGGGAAAAAAGCGACAAAATATTTTCAAAATATATGAAAAACTTCAAAAGCATTGAAGAAGCGTCGAAGAAACATAAAAATGATTAAATACAGTACAGACGTAAAGAAAAAATATCAAATCAGACGAAAAAGGTGAAAGTGGGGAAAGACACCGAAAAATCTACAAAATACTCTTAAAAGTGATGAAAAGCGTCGAAATTATGGAAAAAAGCGATAAAATATCATCGAGAATATGTATAAAAGGCGATTAAATACTGTCAAAATTAAAGAAAGAAATAAAATCGTCTGTCTTTTTAGCGATATTTTGAAAAGTGAAAATTTTCATATTGTAATTAGAGATGAATTCGCTTGACGCTTCGAGAATTTGATACCTGTTCCCTCCTATCTAAGGCGAAAGCCCTCTCTCGCGGTGAAGTATGTTCGTAAAAGAGTAGGATAGGCTTAAGATTGCCTATAATAGTGTCAATAGCTTAGATGCGTTAAAAAAGTAACGAAGAAGAATTGAAAAAAATCATGAAAAAGCGTACAAAGTAAAGAAAAAAGTTAAAGTTAGAAAACAGTCAAAAGTGACAACGAATAAAGCTTGCCGAAGACGTAACAAAGGCTTTAAAAGGGACAAATAGAGTAAAGAGTGTAAAAATCGACAAAAAGTGTCACAAGTATTGAAAGTATAGAAAGCGTTGGAAATGCGTCCAATGTGTTTGAAAGTGCTTCCTCGTTTTTTGGTATTTAAATTTCTTTAATTTTTCAATTCGATTATTTTTAATTTACTTAATTCTATAATTTAATTCTTCTTCAAAAAATTTCACATTAAACATTTTATACCTAAAAAATATTTAAAAAATTACCTGCTAGAGTGACAGGATGCGGAAATCTCTCCAAAAACATCGGAAACAAATGTTTCAGTATTTCATAAGTAGCCATGACATCTTTTGAACAATATTCCATGACAGTCTGGAAATTGTCACGGACATCCTTCATAGTACCATCTACAAATATATCTCTTGAATCTTTTTTGAGATTTTTACCACAGTATAATTTATATACATCCACTAAATTGTTCAAAGAGCTAGTGTTCTTCCAAGATTCATCTTCATCATGGAATTTTTGTGACTTCATTACCTAAAAAAATTGTAAAATTATATTATGTAGTTAAATAATTATCAAAATTCAATCATGTCATATGTACAGAAACATATACATTTGGTTTTTCTCTCATTTTGTATCAACCAAAGTCTACATTTGAGAAATATTTCATATTTTGTTAAACCTTAGAACAAATAGCTGAAGTTTATCCATCTGCACACTATTATCTAGCTGCTGACTTCAATTTACCAAACTGTGAATGGTTTTCAAATAATATGTGCTCTACAACAATTTCTCTACCAGCTGCCACAGCATCTGTAGTTGAAGCCTTGTAGGTTGTGTCTGGTATGTGTGCATACCACAATTTGCTTCAGTCCAACACTATTGTGAATTCCACTAATAATATTCTCGATTTGGTGCTGGTTGATGATGCTGATGTAACTGTGTCCAGGACAGATGAAGCTCTTTTGAGGAAGGGTATGCACCACCAACACTGGAATTTGAGATGAAGATGACCAAAAGTTGCCCCAATACTAGTAATAGTGGTTTGGTTAGTGATGGTTTCTATGGGGACTTTAAGTCGGCTGAATATGTGAAAAAAACTGATTTTTTATCACAGTTCTGTTGGGATAATTTATTTTTAGGAAAATCACTGAATCAAATTGTGAATATTTTTTATGATATAGTTTACATAGCTATATAATTATTTATCCCCTAAAAAGGTATTTGAAACATAGATTCCCTTCTTGGTTCTCACCAGAGTTGGAGGACCTGATAGTTGAGAAACAGAAAGCTCACAAAAAATATCTTTTATCTAATCACTTCTGGATTATCACACTTTTTCTCAGTTGAGGGCGAACTATAAATGATTAAAAGCTGAAGGCTACAGAAATCATATTTATTTAACACAGAAGTATCACTAGGAAATAATTTGAACTGATTTTGGTTGTTTGTGAAGTCACAGAGGGGAAAGCCTTCCTTGCCCGCTATGTTGAGTTATGGTGGTGTTGTACGCAATCACAGTATTAAATAAGGGTGAATTTCCAGAATGCTGAAAAAATAATTTTTTAACACCTATTTTTAAAGCAGGAGATAATTCATTGGTGAATAATTACAGGCCCATTAGTACAATTAGTGTAATACCAAAGATATTTGAATGTTTTGTATGTGACTAATCTTAAAGCTTCACTTGAAAAACAACTAGTAGACCAACAATTTGGATTTTAGAATATCAGATCAACTGAATGTAATATACTAGTGTTTGTGGACTTGTGATTTCTCATAGGCCTTTGATGGGCCACTTCTTAGATCACTGAGAACATACTTGACTGACTAAGTTCAGATGGTGCGTATCAGGGATTTTGTTTCAGGTTCATTACATTGAACTGTCAATGATATGGTAGAAGTTTTAAAACATATTCATATTGCAACATACTTAAAATAATATACATTAGAAATGATACATACATTGTCAGAATGTGCTAGATAGCAAAATATGATTTACATATACTTACAGTTCTCTGATAACTAGTCAAGCCTCCTACACAAATATGAAGACTCATTGTATCAATGAACCTTGTACCAGTTTTATTCACCCAATATTGTTCTTTTATTCTCGCACGGTCAAAGGAAACATTGTGGCCAATTACAACCTTGGGCTTCATTTGATGTTCTGATAATTTCAAGCCAGTTTCTTGAGATTCACTTTCTAAAGGTAAGAGAGAATTAATTGAGTACTGGTGGGAAGTTACTGGCCTTGTAATACCATCTAGCACACAGGGATTGACCCAACCATACCATGCTTTGTTACTTACTGCAGTTGCTAGAGTTGGTGCTTTTCCAGCCATCATACACACCTGGAAATCAATAGCTTATTTAAATTCATAAAACTGAAGAAAAATATGTCGTACCTCAACATCAAAGACGAATGCCTCTTCCAAAGGAAAAGCTACCGCCTGTGGTTCACATTCAGGTACATATCTGGTCCAACCAGGTTGCATTAACCAGGAATCAGGTGGAAGTGGACAGTACTCTAACAGTAGTAACGTAAGATCCCTGTATGGTTTAGCTTGGTTCTCTCCAATAATCTTGAAGTGGTCTGATATGTTTTTTCCTTCCAAAGGCGGAATGTTGTAATCAACATCTTTTTGAAAGTCCTCTGCGTTTGTATTCATTTCTCTCGATGCCAGATCTTGCTGACATTTTTTAATAATTTGTGGATCACTCGCATCCTTGAAGCCCTCTATAAACACTTGATCGTAAATATTTTTCGATAACATTTGTATATTTAGTTTATTTATACGAGGACCATACACCTTTTCTGAATGGGGCTTTGACTTTGGAAGATCCTGAATAACAAACTTTGGTTTTTGCGGATTGGGCATGAAAATTTTTTTCTTCGAACTAGGTAGAAATTCTTTATATGTTAATTTTTGAATTACAGTTGGAAATCTTTTAGGAGATAAGTAACGTCTATGATTATTTAACGACAACATATTTTGTACTTCGTTCTTTTAAATGCTCTTGGTGTGTTTCTTTTATTACAGGTAGCAATCATGCCACAAAGTAATAGTTAGTATTTCCAATTAAAAAATATAAATTTGAAATTATTTTTAAACGCAAAAATTAGGTTATAATACTTCTTCTTGTTGTTTCTATATTTATGAAGTTTCTTTAAATCTAACTTCACTTCGGTGTGAGTCAAGATTTTTGATTTTTGTCAATGTCATGTCTTGTCTACGTTAGTTTTATAGAGTAGATTAATAGGTAAAAGGTAAGTCTTTCGCAAATTTATAATTTATTTTTTATATGAATATTTGTAACGTTGTAGTTGTTTGCTATTCGTGATTGTCTCATTGCTATCTACATGTATCAAAGTAAATCTTCCAAAATTTCCGAGTAACCTCAAATTGTCATAGTTACATAATAAACTTTTAATTTTTAGGGTAACAATGGGTCACGGTTTCGGTCAATTGTACAAACTGCGAGGTATTATCACCTACAAAATCTCCCACTTTGAACAAAAAGCTTTTACTGGATTGATATCGCATGGAGTTCCAAACACCATCAGAAGAATACTGGACCAGATCATCTACGTTGTTCCCCGTAAGTATAAGGATGTAAAACTAATGTATTTTGTGCATTCGACAGTGTTTCTTTCTTTTCAGCACTTGGAATTGGATATATAGTGTACGATCAAGTTGAAAAGGAACATCACAGATTGATGTTGAAAAATCCAGCTGATTATGAAAATGATAAGTGAATAAAGTGATAGTCTTCAATTGTAGGTTAAGTGGTAAAAGTAATAAAATAAAAACTACTAAAATCCAACAGTTTTTTTATTTTATTAATCCATATTAATATCCATAATTTGTTTATCCATATCACAAAAAAGGAATACAATACAAAGAATTTTATAAAATGTTTGACAGGTATTGATCGAACAATGTGAAGTTAATAACAGAATCTTCATTGACTAAGAGATTTAATCCTCCATAAAATAGTTCCTCTATTAGTTATCCAAACAAATTATATGATAATTTGTTCTTTAATTTCTTTTTTATTAAGAATCTACGCTTATGTGTAACTGCCTGTTAATTAGGCAACCAGTATTACAGTATCTAAAAATATATTTATGACCAGTAGGTATCTAGACCAACCGGTACGCATGAGCCAAAATTTGGACTGTCAAAACAGATTATGCAACCAATAACACGTTAACTCAGAATTTTGGAAATCTATTTAGTTGCATGTCATCTGCGTCCAGTGATACACAGACCCTATACTGGGGTAGGTGACTGTGCAGTGATATGTTCAATCACTGTCCGTGTCATAGTCCATGATGTGATATTTTGGCATAAATTGGTAACACTTATTTGACAGTTGCGGTGTTGACACCTTTTGAATTTTAAAGTGAATAGAACATAATTAGTGTGTTTTGTTTGAACAATGTCACGTAAAATTTAAATAGTCGTTGTAAAGAGATAGTAATACTTTTGCAATATTTATGTGACCTATTTGATTTAAAATCAGGATTTTTTTATACTTTGGCAACCAACTTTGGAGAGTACCTACAAGCTGTCGATAGCTGCAAATTTCAAACATAGTACAAAAAATTTCGGTATAGCAGTGTTGGCATGTTTTAATAATGTAAAAGCTGTATGCTTCAAATGTATTAATATAAAGCTTTAGAAAAGTACATTTTGTTCATATTATGTTATGAATTCTGCAATTTTTGATTTATATAAAACAACAATGAGTAAATATTTGTTTCTTTGGCGATTAATTGCAGTAAAATATTAGAAATTTTTTTTAGCAATTACCCTTTGGTAGGATAGGGGATAGCTTTGGCAATCGTCAAATCAGCAGTTGCCAAATTACAACAGATGTTTGCAATTAGTCTCGAAAGAGACAAATATCTACTCTTTATTGATTTTCTTCTTCTTCTTCTTCCAATGGCGCTACAGCCCAAATTGAGCCTTGGCCTCCTGTAACTTCTGCTCCAACAAAGGCGATCCCGCGCGCACTCGTCTCCAAGCCCTGACGTTCAATAAGTTGTGCGCATCTGCTGTGATTTCGTTCTCCCATCTATTACGTGGTCTTCCCTTTGGTCTTCTGCCCTGCATTTTACCATCCAAGGCTTTCTCGGCAATCTGTCGGCATCCATCCGTACCACATGACCAGCCCATCGAAGCCTTTGTACTCTAGCGAACTCTGCAATAGGTGCTTCTTTGAACAGTTGGTAGAGTTCATGGTTATATCTAGATCTCCACATCCATTTTGAGTGATGGGTCCAAAGATCTTCCTTAGGATTTTTCTCTCGAAAACCTCTAATCTTCGTTTAGTGCTTTCTGTCAAAACCCATGTCTCGCATCCATAGCATACTATCGGTCTGATGATAGTTTTATTGCTTCATATAAATTAAAACTTGCAGAATTCAAATTTGACAGTCTAATTTTTGGTGGATGCGCATACTCAGTCTATATACCTACTGGTCATATTTTTTCCTCTAGTGTTTTTATATATATAATATATATATATTATATATTTATATATATATATAATATATGATATATATATATTACTGGTTGCATAACTAAAAGGTACAAGTTACACTAAAAAACGATCATTTTACACGAAATTCATTTCCCCATCTCTGAAACATTAATAAATAAAAAATATAAAATAAAACAATGGTTTTTTCTTAATAAATCTTTTAATTACATAAAAAATAATTACACCTACTGCTTCTTCGTACAACATTCATAAAATTATTCACCACAAAATAGAGACATGTGTCTTCTTTTTATGCTCGTGCATTGTTGGCTATCTTCTTTTGTTTTCTGAACTCCGTCTAGTAAGATATGTTAAGGAAAATCTAAAAAACGTTGTTCATTGGTATTTAAACTAAAATGATGAAAGTTTCAAGTAGTAAAGAGGTTTTTGTTCTTAAAAAATATAAGAAATCGAAGCAAGAAACGTAGTAAACAAGTAAAAAACCGCTCTATATTTGTATCTAAGACATACATATTGCAACCTGGTCGTGTGTGTACGAGGGTTATGAAAAAACTTTTCGGATTATTTGGTAAAATTATTTTTTTTTTATATGAGAAGTAGAAATCCGTATAAGCGTAAACAAGTAAAAAAGTGTTCTATGTTTGTATCTAATTTAAAATTAGTTAAATCTAGATGTGTATATACGAGGGTCATGAAAAATTTCTCGGTATGGGTAGTAAATGAGTTTTTTTTCAGAAATTCAAAAAAAGGAGCATGTAACAAAGCAAATAAATAAAAACTTATAATCTATTTGCATCTAAAATAATAATACTGTAACTCAAAGGTGTATCGGCGAAGTCAATGAGAAAATCTCTCGTTTTGATCGTTAAAAAATAGTTTTTTTTCAAAAATATGAGGAATAAAAGCACATACGTGCACAAACAAGTAAAAAGTGTTCTAAATTTGTATCTGAATTAATGTTTCTTAAATACAGAGGTGTATATACGAGGGCTATGAAAAATTTCTCGGAGTGGGTAGTAAAAAATGGGTTTTTTTTTCAAAAATATAACAAACAGAAGCATATGACAAGCCAAATAAATAAATAAATAAATAATAAAATATATTTGTCGTCGAAAATAAGAATACTACAGCTCAGACGCATATACACGAGGTTAATGTGAAATTTTGACAAAATATGAGGAATAGAAGCATTTGAGGATATAAGCAAGTGTTCTACGATATACATCTACATTAAATTATTTAAACACATACGTGTATGTACGTTTAAAACAAAAATACTAAAACCCAGAGGTGGATGTATGAGATTCAAGTAAAAACTTCTCAGTTTGGTTAGTAAAAAAATAGTTTTTTTTAAATATGACGAATAAAATCAAGCAAACAAGTAAATGTTTATATTTACAGAGGTACCTCGATTTGCGAGCACCCTAATATACGAGTGTTTTAAGATACGAGCCGTGGAGCGAGCAATATTTTGATTTGAGACCAGGAATCGGCATTTATTCAAATAAACACTTCTTGTTTGACTACTTCTAATTTGCTTTATAAATAAAAGGTAGTTTTAGTGGTAATAGATCTTTACGGCCTCGCCATATACGGGTCTGTACGTAACTATTACTTGTACCAACAAATTAAATGGTCATTGGACAAAAATTCTGATTCTAATACTAACCATATTGCACTCTCGATGTCGGTGTAATTTACACTGTAAATTTTTACTATAGACCTCAATCTGTCTGAGGACTGAGGTCTATAGTAAATATAGACTGTCTCTTCGAAGAAGAAATGATGCCTATTGAACTAAAACGTGAAATCATTGAAAAACGTGAGAAAGGTGTAAGAGTAACTGACTTGGCGAGGATGTATGGGAGTACCACATCAATGATATGTACTGTACTTAAACGGAAGGAGGTGATAAATGGTACACTGCCAGCTAAGGGCGTTACAATAATTTCTAAGTTCCGAACTTCTTTCCAGGAAAAGATGGAGAAACTACTAATGGTGTGGGTGATAAAGAGCAGCTTCAAGGAGAACCTTGACACAAAGCATTATATGTGAGAAGGCAAGAGCGATTTTCTGAAGTAGATCCCACATGCTTCCACAAATGATGAATCGGAAGACTTGTTTATAACCAGTCGACGCTGGTTTGATAACTTTAGAAAAAGGACCGGCATTCACTCCATCGTCAGGCATGGTGAGGCAGCAAGTTCGGATGTGAAAGCAGCTGAGGTTTACACCAAAACGTTTTTCGAACTGATAGAAGCCAAAGGATACATCCCCCAGCAAGTCTTCAAGTGTGACGAGACAGGGCTTTTTTTGGAAAAAGATGCCAAATAGGACTTACATAACGGCAGAGGAGAAGACGATGCCAGGTCACAAACCTATGAGAGATAGATTAACTCTATTACTTTGCACCAATGCGAGTGGCGACTGTAAAATCAAACCTCTTCTAGTGTACTTTTAAAAATTCTCAGAGCCTTTAAGTCATAAGATTTGAAAAGAAAAACTGCCAGTCATGTGGAGGTCAAAATCCAAAGACGTGGGTCACCAGGAAATTCTTTGTGATGTGGATAAAACCTTTATAAAGATTCTGTATCTAACAGCCAACAGCACTCATATCTTACAGCTCATGGATCAGCAAGTGATTTCTAATTTTAAGAAGTTGTATACCTAGCACACTTTTCAGCGCTGCTTTGGGGTGACGTAGACCACAAACCCTACCCTTCGAGAGTTCTGAAAGGACCACTTTAACATAGTAATATGCTTAAGAATTATTGAGCAGGCCTAGCTAGATGTTACAAGGAGCTTAACCTCTGCATGGAAGAAGCTGTGGCCTGAGGCTGTAGATGAAAGGGCCTGTGAAGGACTGGAACCCGAGGTGTCAGTGGTAGATGAGATTGTTTCTCTTGAAAAATCCATGGGTCTGGAGGTGGATGAAAAAGATGTGAACGAACTTGTCGAGGAACAGTCTCAGGAGCTGACAACCGAAGAATTAGACGAACTACATTCGCAGAGCCAGAGAAGATCCAGAATTGAAAGATGTTGTTTCCTCAAGAGAAAGAAAGGAGATCCTGGGAATGTGGGAGAAAGTTGCAGAGTTTGTAGACAATAAACAATAAAGACAAACAAGTAAAGTATTGTTATATACTTAGTTGTATCTAAAATAAAAATACTATCCAGAGTTGTATATACGAGGGTAATATGAAAATTTTTCAGTCTACATAATATCAAAAATACAGCAAATGCCCGCAATAAAGAACGACATACGACAAAGCTGACAAATAGTGTTAATTCTATAGTGAGATGTTGTTTACTGT